TTACAGATGGTTGTGAGCCACCATGTGGTTGCTGGGAATTGAACTCAGGACCTTTGGTAGAGCAGGCAAGGCTCTTAACCTCTGAGCCATCTCTCCAGCCCCTCTCTACCTCTCTTGACTTGTGGGCCAGTTAATGGGGACAGCGAGCATCCTGTGTACTATTGGGATATTTACTGCATCCCTGGCTTCTTTTCACCAGCTACCTGGAGGACCACTAGTCTACCGAAGGACAAATCTACTCCTCTACTGCTATCGAAACCTACTAATTAAGCCTTATTTTCTCCCTGCAGCTTCTCCACGAAGGGGAGTTGTGTGTCAGGGATAACCTTGCATGGGATATTCCATGCTGCTGAATCTAGCCAGGGTTCCCTAAAGGAGTGTTTAGACTGTGCTGAGCCAATATTCCTAAGGTCTTGGTGAGCAATGCCCTTAACTCCTCTGTTTTCTAGGAATGGAAAGGAGCAGGTTAGAGCCCTGGGCAATTGGATCTTCTGAGTTTCTCAGGGGAAGAACCTTCTGGTCTGCATTTGTAGAAAGGGGTGTTGGGCTCTAGTGAGGCCTGCCCAAGAGGTATGCAAAGCTGGTAGCCCTCCTGGAAGGACTCTACTTGTCTTGTGCAGGATTTTCCTGGGATAGTTAGCTCCTTACAGTAGACAGTGAAGGGAAGGCCAGGCCTCCGTTGAGAACCTGGTAGGAGTGTGCGGTCCCTCACTCCAGAAATATTCATTTTGCCTATAGCTCTAGAGGCTCATACATGTCAAAGGCTGATTGGCCACCCGTGTGTTCATCCATCCATTGCACATTAGGAAGCTCTGCCAACCTCACTCCTTTGGAGAGCTGACCAGTAAGGTGACAAGAGTGGCAATGTAAAGCTGACTCCTTCCCTGTTCCAGGCCAGCCTGAAGGCAGGACCCAGCTAATGGCAGGGTCAGAAAGAACTAGAAAAGGGATGAGCAACAAGGCAGCCCTCCTTCCAGCTGCAGCAGCCCAGCGGGGTAGATGAATAGTCTTGGGGAGGGAGAGTGACCCTGGAAGAACCCTTTGTTCCAGCTGAGCCATTCACACGCCATCCCAGGGCATCCTGCTGGGTACTCTGGGGAGAGGGCACAGCAGCCAGTCATGGGACTTGGCCAGGCAGATAGTTTGATGCTCAGCAGCGAAGCCCAGCTGCATGCTGCGGAGGTTGGGGGAGGTGCTGCTGCATCCAACAGCCTTCCTCCAGGCTGTGGTCTGTCTCACAGACCTGGAAGGCACTGACTGGGCCAGCTACTCTGTCCTGAGGTGGCTTGAGCTTGTCACCCTCCTCAAAAGCTCCCAAACTTCTTACCTCTCCATGAAGAGGCTCCAGTGTTCTGATGTCATTCTTATCACTTGCCCTCAGTGCTTGGGGTTCAAGATGGGGGCAGATGTGTCCGTTTCTCAAACGGTTTTGGAAGAAAGCCCATAGAGCTCTTAGTAGATCCTCCTGTCCTTGTCCCCCGTCTAAGCACAGCACCCCATGGTGGCTTTGTCTCCTGGCCTTCAGAGATGTGACTATGAACCCAAAGTCTCAAGGTGTTTTTGGAAGCATGTCTGCCCTGGCAGAGGAAGGAAAGCACAATTACATTGTCCTCACATCTTGCTTGCATTGTCCCTGTGACTCTGAGTGACAAAGCCCCTGGATGAGGGAGGACAGGAGTTGACGCCCTCTGCTTCCTCTCCCTGCCCAGGCCTCGCCAGCAGCCTGGAGTGTGCTTGTGGTCGAAGCCACTTCACATGTGCGGTGAGTGCTCTCGGCGAGTGTACCTGCATCCCTGCCCAGTGGCAGTGTGACGGAGACAATGACTGCGGGGATCACAGCGATGAGGATGGCTGTAGTAAGTAGCTTCCCAGGGCTGGTAGAGGTGGTGGAAGATGGGGAGCTGGGCTCTTGCAGGGCTGACAGGTGTGGAGAGAGACCCGAGGCCTTCACATGCACACCTTAACTGCTCACATTTCTAGTGGATGACTCATGCCTCTAATCCCAGCAAAACACACTTTGAAAAATTGATAAAGGGCCAGGCATTGTGGTGCATGCTTTTAATCCTAGTACTCAGGAGGCAGACGCAGGCCAGAATTTAAGGCCAGCCTGGTCTACAAAGTGAGTGCCAGGGCTATACATAGAAACCCTGTCTCAAAAAAAAAAAAAAAAAAAAAAAAAAAAAAAAAAAACAAAAAAAAAAAAAAAAAAAAAAACAAAAAAGAAAAGTTGAAAAAGGTGTAAAAGAAAATACCCTTGAAACCACAGACAGTCTTTAAATAGCGTTCCTTATATTTGTGAGTTCTGTATGTATGCTTCATGGATACATTTAAATTTCTATGTGGTGTACATAGGTGCAGGTTTTTTTCTTGTTTCTTATTTTAGTATTCTAAATAGTCACAAATATTAAACAGATAGGCTTTGTAAGAAGTCTTATATTTGGGGGCAATGGTGAGACTGCCTAGCAGGTAGGGTGCTGCCACCACGCCTGATGACTTGGTTTGGTTCCCAAGACTCATATGGTGGACAGAAAAAAACCAGCTCTAGAAAATGATTCTCTATCTCTCCATGAGCACTGTGGCTCCTAAGTCCTCTTCCCACAATGATAATAAACTTTAAAAATAAGGTAGAGAGCTATTGAAGAGGCCCCCTGATGTTGGCACACATGCATCTGTCCGCCTTAATAAGCGTGTATGTACCACACACATAAAGGACTGGCAGAGGCTATGGACCAGTAGTGGAGCCACATGCCTTGCATGTGTGAGGTTCTAGATTCAACTCTCTCCCCACACTGGGGAAAAAGCCTTGCATTCTATTTCAGTTCGCCTTCCCCCCTGCAAAGTCACAGACACTGTTTTGGATATATATAAATCTCACTATTAAGCCAGTTGTCTGGATTTAGGGGTACGTGTCTGGCCCATAGCATCTATGTCTGATGGCCACTAATTAGTCTAATGGGAATGAAGCTACAGCCTGGACCTCATTAACCCTAACCAGCTCAGCTAATTGTGATAATAATAAAAGCTTCCCTTTCATGTAGCACTTTATCTCAAAAGCCCTCTGTGAGCTGACTGCAATGACCCCCTTGTATGGTCAAATGCTGCTCAGGTAGGGCAGACGACTTGATCGTCATGGTACTAATGACTTCTAGAAGTGGAACCCAGAGTGTCAGTCACCCTTTAATAAGACGAAAGGAGGGGGAAGTTCAGGCTGACCTCACAGTTGATATGTAGCTGAGGGTGACCTTGAGCTTCTGATCCTCTGCCTCTACCTCCCAAGTGTTGGAACTACATGTGTTCACCTCCACGCCAAGCTTCATGAAGTACTGGTGATCAAACCCAGGGCTTCAGGCATGTTAGGCCACACTCCACCAACCAAGTTAGAACCACAGCCTCGCTTTTCCTCTCTGCTTCTTCGCTGTCTTAGAGTAGAGGCTGCAGTTTCTTGGGGCAGAGGCAGGAGTGCAGACAGTGGAGCCTGGTCTGACCTGCCCACCTGACCCACGTTTGCGTTCTCTTGAACCCAGTGCTGCCCACCTGCTCCCCTCTGGACTTCCACTGTGACAATGGCAAGTGCATCCGCCGCTCCTGGGTGTGTGACGGGGACAATGACTGTGAAGATGACTCTGACGAGCAGGACTGTCGTGAGTGCTGGACGGGGCCAGGCCAACTCTATGGGCTCTGTTGGGAAAGGATTTCCTGTCAGAAATATGTCCCTGGCCCCTGAGTCCTTGGGTCTTCAGCTCTTGTCTGTCCTTCTGCCTCCTGTCTTGGTCAGCTGAGCCCACAAGATGTGGTCACCTCTTTGGGAGTCTGGGGGTAGCACTGGGACTGTTGACTGCCCCAGAAGGCTTTATTGAGGGGCTTGCAGGCACTGTGCTTTCTGTCCACAGCATCCTGATTCATCTGTGCCCACAGCCCCCCGGGAGTGTGAGGAGGACGAGTTCCCCTGCCAGAACGGCTACTGCATCCGGAGTCTGTGGCACTGTGATGGTGACAATGACTGTGGGGACAACAGTGATGAGCAGTGTGGTGAGTGGTGGGAGTCCAAAGTGGGAGTGGCCATGGGAGGAGCTCCAGGGATTTGTGCAGCTGAAAGAAGGAGGGCTATGGACCTCCCCTTGCCACCGAAGAAGACTGGTAAAAGATTCTATGGAACTCCTGTCTCATTGCATCCCTAGACATGCGCAAGTGCTCAGACAAGGAATTCCGCTGCAGTGATGGGAGCTGCATTGCTGAGCATTGGTACTGTGATGGTGACACAGACTGCAAAGATGGCTCAGATGAAGAGAGCTGCCGTGAGTGGTCCTATACCTGATGTTGCTGGGCTGGAAGGATGACTAAGAGCTCTGTCTCCTGGATAAGGGTTGACTGGGCTGGTTGTGTGCAGTGGGCAGGCAGGAAGTCTGTGCTCTACAGGACTGAAGCTGGGGAGTTGAGGTGTGACTCACATATGTGCTTGCTTAGCATGCACGGAGCCCTGGGTCCTGTCCTCAGCACTGCACAACTGGATGGGCATAGTGGTGTACACGTGTGTATAATCCTAGCAGGCAGGAGGTGGAGGCAGAAGGATCAAGGTTTCGAGGTTCTCTTTGTTTGAGGCCAGCCTGGGAAGATACACAAGCCCCGAGCTAGCATAGCAGCAGTTATGCAGGGTTGACTTTCTGGTCTACCAGCATGTGGAAGTCTGTGGGACCATCACAAATGTCCCTGTGAAGAGTCAGGCCCCTGTCCCCAGCCATTAGGGCCTGAGGGCTGCTCTCCCTTCCAGCCTCAGCAGTGCCCTCTCCTCCTTGCAACCTGGAGGAGTTCCAGTGCGCCTATGGCCGCTGCATCCTGGACATATACCATTGTGACGGCGACGATGACTGCGGAGACTGGTCGGACGAGGCTGACTGCTGTGAGTGCTCTGGCCAGTGGGAGGAGGGGCAGCTGCCCGCCAGGGCACAGGTGCCAGCTGGGGCAGGCGCTGAGGGGAGTAGGTCTCTGGGGAGGAACTGGAGTGTTGGGAGGGGGACTGGACTTTCTGCTCTGCCACGAGGCCCTCTGCTCACCTTTGTTTCCAGCTTCCCACCAGCCTTGCCGCTCTGGGGAATTCATGTGTGACAGTGGCCTCTGCATCAACGCAGGCTGGCGCTGTGATGGGGATGCCGACTGTGATGACCAGTCTGATGAGCGCAACTGCAGTGAGTTGGGGTTGCATCAAAGGCAGTGGGAAGCTAAGGAGAAGGGTTTGGGCCCATACAGCGTGAAGACATATTAAACGGCTATACAGCTGTGTAGACTGTACACCCAACAGAGGCAATACCTTCAAAGGGCTGTCAGGCCCTTGCAGTCTGTAGATTATAGACACATCATGCAGTTTTCCAGCAGGTGACATCACTGTCAAGAAGAGTGGCCTGTGTGCTTTGGGTGCAGCACAGAGTTGCGGGCTGCGGTGGGGCTAGCCTTTCATTAGGCCTTTGCTTTTCCAGCCACCTCCATGTGCACAGCAGAGCAGTTTCGCTGTCGGTCTGGCCGCTGTGTCCGTCTGTCCTGGCGCTGTGATGGGGAGGATGACTGTGCAGACAACAGTGATGAAGAAAACTGTGAGAACACAGGTGGAGTCTCCCTGAGGTGCCCCAGGCCCCTGTCCTAATGTTGGGAGTGGCAGGCAGAGGAGAAGAGGGAACATTGCTATTGCTGCCTCTGCTGGCCAGAAATGATGCTTCATTCCTTCTCCAATGGCCTGGGCTTCCCCTGCCCTTCCCAGTGAGCAGGGTCAAATCCAGGTGCAGGAGCAGAAGCACCTGTTGTGCAAGCATAGGGACCCAAGTTCATATCCCTAGTACCCAAGTTAAGAAATTGGGCATGACTGTGAATGCCTACAACACCAGCACTGGGAGACAGAGAAAGTCAGAGTCCAGAGAATCACTAGCCAGCCAGCCTAGCCAATATGACCAGCTGCTGATTCATTGGGAAACCTTGTCTGGAGACCATAAGACAGAGAATGAATGATGGTGAGTTATCATATATCCTCTGGCCTCTGCGTGCATATATATGGGCATGCATACCATATATATGCACATATATAGTCACGTGCATGCACTACAAACACATACAACACATCACACACACACACATGCACACGTACAATCCAGGCAGATTGTTGACTTGTGTCCATGTTCTTGAACACAAAGTCAGGGCTGTGAGTCTTAGCAGCTGCTCAAATTCTCACTTTCACTCTGCCTTTGGGAGGAAGTGCTGCTCTCCAGCCCTTGTGTCTGCTTTCCCTCTGCAGAAAGGAACAGCAGTCTCTGTATCTATGCACTCAACCCGCTAAATGTGGTTCTGAGTATAAAGGAACACTCTTTCACTCCGTCCCAGTCACTCATCCACTGTGGAATCACGGGGATAAAGCAAACTTGGACACTCAACCAGCCTTGTCTGAGCTGTTTCCTGCCTTGGACCCCGACCCTCCCACCTTGACTCTCATCTGACTCCAGTTCACCCTAGAAAATGACAGCCTCCTGTTCCTGTGGACTCAAGTCCTACCCTCCTGTGACCTGGCTCTTCCGTCCCTCCTCTGTCTAGGAAGCCCCCAGTGTGCCTCTGATCAGTTCCTGTGTTGGAATGGGCGTTGTATTGGACAGAGGAAGCTGTGCAATGGGCTCAATGACTGCGGTGACAACAGTGACGAAAGCCCACAGCAGAACTGTCGTGAGTGTCTCTAGTGTGTGGGCCTGGGCCATGGTTTGTGGCTGAACCCCACCCATAGGCTTCAAAGGGAGGCCTCCCTTGGGACTCTTGCAGTTTTGGGAGCTGTTTTTCGTGGTCCAGGTGGAATGCCAAGTTGGCCGGACGGGGGTGGATTCTGGGCTCAATTCCCAATTCTGGCTTGGCTGGCACAGGGCCCCGGACGGGCGAGGAGAACTGCAATGTTAACAATGGAGGCTGTGCCCAGAAGTGCCAGATGGTGCGAGGGGCAGTGCAGTGTACCTGCCACACGGGCTACCGGCTCACAGAGGATGGGAGAACATGCCAGGGTGAGCGGAGGCCTGCCCTGGGCGAGAGTCAGGATGCTGAGTGGGAGCAACATGTAGGCAGCTGTGTGATATATCAGATTGCTGTGATGTCATTTCATCACTGCACTAACCCGGGGGGAGGGGGATCACTTCTCCCATTCGCACATAGGTGAAACTGAAGGGCATTGAGTGTGAGTAACTTACCCAAGGCAACACAGCTAGGAAACAGCAGAGGTAGGATGTTAACCCAGGCCTACATGACATCAAAGCCCTAAACCACTTGCCACAAGTTTCCCATAAGGCTGAGGCAGTAGATGGGGATATGGAGATATGACCAGGAAAACAACTAGTTAGCGCAGGAGTGAATTGGAGTGGGAAGATGGCGGAGGCGGGCTTCCTGACCCTGCCGGTGTTTGCAGATGTGAATGAGTGTGCTGAGGAGGGATACTGCAGCCAGGGCTGCACCAACAGTGAAGGGGCTTTCCAGTGCTGGTGTGAAGCGGGTTATGAGCTACGGCCTGATCGGCGCAGCTGCAAGGCTCTGGGTAAGGATGGTGGGTGCTTGGCTGGGGGCTGAGGGCTAAACAGAGAGAAGCGAGGTGCTCTAGAGCTGAGGGGTTTCCTAAGGAGTCTGGGCCCCAAGCAGAAGGTGACTGGGCTAGGGGTTGAACAGCAAACAGGATATACCCTAGAGGGCAAAGAGTCCCAGCTATTAGCCGAGGGTCTAAGAGTACATGCTGATGGGTATCTGGTAGCTCTGAAGCCCAGTGGGGTTCTGTTTCTATGCTGTGTCCAGGGCCAGAGCCTGTGCTACTGTTTGCCAATCGTATCGACATCCGGCAGGTGCTCCCGCACCGCTCTGAATACACACTGCTACTCAACAACCTGGAGAACGCCATTGCCCTTGACTTTCATCACCGGCGGGAGCTGGTCTTCTGGTCTGATGTCACCCTGGATCGCATACTTCGTGCCAACCTTAATGGCAGCAATGTGGAGGAGGTTGTGTCTACTGGGCTAGAGAGCCCAGGTAGGAAAACACGGCTCTGCGTGAGTGGAGAGCCAGGGAAACCATGTGCAAAAGGCAGTGGAAAGGAAGGGATAGACCAGTGTTTACAAACTGCACAAAGCAGAATGTCTCTTCCAATGAAATCTTGAGTGGAACTCTGATACAGAAAACAACTGTAGGCTCAAGAGATGGCTCAGTGGTTAAGAGCACTGACCACTCTTCCAGAGGTCCTGAGTTCAATTCCCAGCAGCCACATGGTTGCTCACAACCATCTGTCCATAGTGGGATCTAATACCCTCTTCTGGAAGAAAGGCATATGTGTGGATAGAGCACTCATATACATAAAATAAATAAAATACTTTAGAAAAGAGAGAGCAGCTGTAGTGTTGAAGAGGTTGCTCATTTCACACAGTGCTTGCCTGGCTTGGATGCATAAAGCCCTGGGTTTGCCTCCCAGCACTGTGTAAACCAGACATGGCGATGCCTGTGATCCTAACACTGAAGAGCAGAAACAGAAAGATCAGAAGTTCAAGGTCCAGTTTGAGGCCAGGCCGCGATACAGGAGATCTCCCCTCTGCCATCTCAACAAACAAAAAGCAACCGCTAATCTGACGAGCTTACACTATTCTACAAGCAGGTTAAGCGACTTAGAAGTTGGTGTGCAGGGCTGGAGTTAAAACTCAGTAGTAGAGCACACTTACCTACTTGTGAAAGGCACTGACTTACATCCCCAGCACCAGCCACAAAAAAAGGAAGGGAAGGAGGGAGTGAGAGAAGGAGGAGAGACCAAGTACCCAGGATCTGTTATCCAACCAGGCTCAGATGATACATTCCTGAAGTAAAGGAGGTGTGTGGGGGGAGGGGGGAGGTCAGGAGACCAAGGTCATCCTCATCCACACAGGGAAGAAATGCATGACCCTGGTCAATTGCTTGCGTTCTCTCCATTTCCACCTCCTGGAAATGGTAGTACCTAGCTCAGAGCTCTGATGCCTGTAAGACAGCTGCCACAAGGTCTGGCCCCAGAAGCGTCTTCTTGTAAGAGTTTGTTCTTGTTTCCAGAACACAGAACTGCCTAGGGTGAATCCCTAACACTTTCCCACTGGCTCTTCTCACCAGGGGGTCTGGCTGTGGACTGGGTCCACGACAAGCTCTACTGGACTGACTCGGGGACATCGAGGATTGAGGTAGCTAATCTGGATGGGGCCCACCGGAAGGTGTTGCTGTGGCAGAACCTGGAGAAGCCCAGGGCCATTGCCCTGCACCCCATGGAGGGGTGAGTAGGTGTCTCAAGTTTCCAAGTCCCTTTTACAACCTGTAGGGATTGTTCTCAGGCGTCCTCAGTGATGCTGACAACTGTGCTCTGTCCCAGATGCCCACAGTTTTAATTGGCAAATTAAAAACAAACAAGCTATATAAATACATATATTTGGGAGGTGACAGCAGAAGGATCAGGAATTCAAGTTCTTCCTCGACACGTAGTTGGAGATAAGCCTGGGCTACATGAGACTCTGATCTAAGCAAACAAATATAGCTGCTTTTATAGATGCTCCACATTAAATAATAAAACACATAAAAGGAATAAAATATACAAATTAGGTGAGGTAGAGTGTAACTAATTAAAAATTATATTAATTTAAGGCAGTTAGAGTTGAGCTAATTAATATCATTAATTTGAAATGATTTTAAAAATTAATAGACAAGTCTCCTGCAGTGAAGCTTCTTAGAATGGAAATTTTTAGCCTCTGGCTTGTGTACATTCCAGGATCTGCTGAAGGGGTGATGTGTAAGATCCTGCGATTCTGTGTCAGTTGTTTGAGAAAAGAGGTGTGTGGGAGAGGAGGCCGCAGACTACTGAGGAAGAGGAGCGTGCCTGCCTTCCCTCCAGTCGCCCCTGCTGGCAGCTTCACAAGCACAGAATTGTCATCTGTTTTGTCTACTGCTCCATTTCTCAAAAAAAAAATCTGATGAATAAATACCCTGTCTCAAGACATTTAAACTATCCAGATATTTAAAAAAAGTATTCTGCAGATCTGGTCATACAGAACAGTTGCCTGGCATTAGGCTCTGGATTTAATCCCCCGAGTTCAGTCTTCAAAGATGGGGAAGAAATCATTTTAAATAAACAAACAAAGGAAAGCACCTCTCGAAGCTGAGCATGGTGGCACATGCCTTTGATCCCAGTACTCACTGAAGCAGGTGGATCTCTGAGTTTGAGGCCAACTTGGTCTCTGTAGTGAGTGCCAGGACAGCCAAAGCTACACAGGGAGACCATGTCTCAAAAGAGGTGAACAAGCAAACAAACAAACAAGTAAAATGCTATTAGGCAAACTGGTGAAATCCGGTGTGCAAAAGTCTGTTATCAGCCTAGGAACTACTCCTCTGTCCTCTACTACCTGGTCGCTTCCTTTCTTCCTAGAACCATTTACTGGACAGATTGGGGCAACACCCCCCGAATTGAGGCCTCGGGCATGGACGGCTCTGCACGCCGCATCATTGCTGACACTCATCTCTTCTGGCCCAATGGTCTCACCATCGACTACGCTGGACGCCGCATGTACTGGGTGGATGCTAAGCACCATGTCATCGAGAGAGCCAATCTAGATGGCAGTCACCGCAAGGCTGTCATTAGCCAGGGTGAGGTCTTTGATCTGTCCGCTTTCATGTCTCTGCTCCTTCCCCAGTCCTGCCCCCAGGAGCCTTGGCAAAGGGTGATATTTGTGGAGCTGCCAGGTTTGGGCTCAAGGGCCATGGCAGGCCATGTCTGGACTAAGGTCTTTTTGGACTATCTCCAGGCCTCCCACATCCCTTTGCCATCACGGTTTTTGAAGACAGCTTGTATTGGACAGACTGGCACACCAAGAGCATCAATAGTGCCAACAAGTTTACTGGGAAGAACCAAGAGATCATTCGTAACAAGCTGCACTTCCCCATGGACATTCATACCTTGCACCCCCAGCGCCAGCCTGCAGGTAAAAACAAACAAAAAAAAAGTTTTAAAAAAGAAAAAAGAGGTCTCATCAAACGAGTTAGATTTGTCACTAGTGATGTGGCTGCTGGTGCCTCTTGAGAATCTTCCTCATATTTGTCATAGATATATTAATTCTGGTCAGGGAAGGCCAGAGCTCGCATTGTCCTGGGAGCTCGTTGCTCCCTCTGCTGGACATTTTGGGGGAAACACCATCAGGGCTCATTTGGCTTTCCTTTTTCCTTATAAAGCCAACATTTATAGAGCATCTCCTATGTGTCAGGTACTAACTGTGTTCGCATCTGCAGCCAAGTAATAAGACAGAGTTCTTCTTTGTATAGAGCTCAACCCTCCACCTGGGGTCTACTTTGTAAACTTTTAATCTTCCTGATCATCTTGCTCTGGGTTCTTTGAGCAGGGAAAAACCGTTGTGGGGACAACAATGGAGGTTGCACTCATCTGTGTCTACCCAGCGGCCAGAACTACACCTGCGCCTGCCCCACTGGCTTCCGAAAGATCAACAGCCATGCCTGTGCCCAGAGTAAGTGGGCTTGGGAGACCAGCCTCAGTGAGGTACCTTTCAGGCCCATTAGAGCAACAGCGAGGGGAGCTGGAGGGATTGCTGGTCCAGGAGAGAGTCAGACTCCTCGAGGAGCCCATGACAGACTGTAGAGGCTGGGGAGGATCAAGAACCAGGCAGTAGCATCTGAAGTGACCCCATTTAGTGTATGAACACCTGCAACTGGGCTTATCTTTCATGTCATCAGGCAGGATGCCTCCTGTCTAGGCAGAAAGAAGGTCCAGTTCTTCTAGAAAGCAGGGCATGGGTTTCCAGCCTCTGCACCGTTAGTCTGACCCACAGAAGACTTTGTGCCATTAGGAGAGGGAAATGTGACTGGGATCCTGAATGATGTTCTGTGACCAACAAGTGGAAGATGATAGAATTCCCTGGTTTTTCCCAGAATCTCTACTTTGGGTTCCTTTGAGTTCCTGCAAGAAAATTACTTGCAAAGTCAGCCTTAGAAATCTCAGCACACAGGTGACTTTTTCTAAGGCTAGTAGAGCGAGAATTTGATTGGGCATATGGTATAACCAGCAAGGGGCCAGGGACAATTTCTTTTGTATCATTATTACTGTATAATACATTGGCTCTCTTAAATCTATTAAAATCAACTTGTTGGAGCTGGGGAGATGACTCAGTTGGTAAAGTGCCCGCCATGCTCGCATGAGGTCCTGAGTTCAAATCCCTAGCACCCACGTAAAAGCCAGGTGTAGTGGTATTTAGTCAGATCCCTGGTCCTCACATGCCATCCAGCCTAGCCAATCTGTAAGGTTTGGGTTCAATGACAGACCTTGCCTCTAATTAAATAAATAAGATGAGGTAAAGAGCTATAGAAGGAGACGCCCAACTTCCGCATGTATACATGTTTACATGTATTTATACATATCCATACACAATCACACACACACAATCAGATTCTCAGAGCCTTTTCCAGAGAGTGATTAGGGAAAACATTCAGAGGTTTCATTCAAATACGTACTTGAAAATTAGTTTCATACGTTGTGTTTTTCCTGTACACTCTTTTTATTTGTTTCATTTCTTTCTTTCTTTCCTTTTTTTTCTTTTTCTTTTTTGAGACAGGGTTTCTCTGTAGCCCTGGCTGTCCTGGAACTCACTCTGTAGTACCAGGCTGGCCTCAAACTCACAGAGACCCTCCTGCCTCTGTCTCCTGAGTGCTGAGATTAAAGGTGTGCACCACCACTGCCTGCTTTCCCATATAGTTTTTTTTATGCCCAGTTGCTCCTGTTATTTTAGTGAGATGCAATATGCTTCCAGGCACTTCCTTCAGAAGATTTACCAAAGCTTACACGAGGGTTTGGTAAAGCCAGGAAGAAAGTGCCGTTCTGAGTAGAGAAATATGTAGTCAGGTTTTCATCTGTGGGTTTCTTGTCTGGATTTAGCCAACTGTGGACAGAAATTCTAAAACTCTGTACTGAAGATGTGTCGCCATTTACATTTTCCCCTTATTTGTGTTTGTGTCTGTATTCTGGGGTGTGCATGAGGTCAGAAGACAACTTGTGAGTTAGGTCTCTTCTACTCTGTGGGGCCCTGAGATGGAACTCAGATTGTCAGCCCTGTATCAACTGTTTTGGTCATTATTCTCTAAAGAATACATTGTATGAGCTGGAGAGGTGGCTCAGCAGTTAAGAGCACTTAATTTCAGAGGACCCAGGTTTAGTTCCCAGTCCCACACAGCGGCTCACAACTGCCTGTAACATCCAGGGCATCTGATGTTTTCTGGCCTCTCAGGGCACTAGGCACACACATGGTCCACATATGGACATTCAGGAAAACACTTCCTACATATAAAATAAAAATTAAATGAAAAAAAAAAAAGGCCTACACACATATTTCTAAAAAGGAAGGATATGGAATACAACTAAATGGGAGTTATATTGCATATTGAACCCCTAGTATCAAACAAACAGATATTAGATTACAAGTAATCCAGAGGTTATTTAGATTATATAGGATGTGCACAGGTACACAAGGGCCTGAAGCTTCTGTGAACTGAGTACTGCAGGGCTCCCTGCACACACCAAAGGCCAGCTATACTGGGAAAGTATTTAGACAAGCCAGAGGATGGAAAAGCTGCTGTGTCGAGCAGTGGCCAAAGCCCCCTCTGTGACCAGACTTGTTCAGAACTGAGTCCTAGTTCCGGGCATGCTCCCTGGTTCTGCTGGCCTCAGTCACTCATCTGAGAACAGGAGCAAGATTGTGTCTCACAAAGCACTGGTATGAGGCATCATGAAGAACTAGGCTTTATTATGAGATTTAGCAGAACTGTTTTCTCCTCCCCTCTTCTCCCGCACTCTCCTGCACACCCCCACACCCTTTTCTTCCCTTGGCCTCCTTTCTGCTCTACGGCACATGCCATTTTGGTCCCCTCCTTTCCTCAACAGTGTTTTTCCTATCTAATTTCATAACCTCTTCTACAGGCATATAAACATGACAGGATCCACATACGAGAGAGAACTTATTTTGTTTGTTTGTTTTAACATTTTGAGTCTGGGTGGGTCATTTCACTTAATAATATAATACTTTTCAAGTCTATCCTTTTTACTGCAAGGTTCATAATTTTATTTTTCTTCATGGCTGAGTAAAATTGCACCGTGTCTATACCAGGCATTCAGCTTTTCTAAGCACAAAGTCCAGTGCCTGACAAGGAAAGAACTTAGTGACCAGTTGTCGTTGGCTACAACTGTGAAGAAAACAGAAATGGGAGGATAATTCTAGACAACACAATAAAAGCAGAAACTCTAGCCAGGTAGCATGTCTGTAATTCCAGCACTTAGGAGGCCGAGTCAGGACTGAGAGTTTGAGAAAAGCCTAGGCTTGTATCGAGGAAACAAAAAGGCAGAAGACTTGAAATAGAGTAAACATCTCAGAAGTCGGCTGGCAGTGGGCAGTGTCCCAGCCGCAGCACGAGAAATGGGCAAGAGAAGTAAGAAGAGAGAATGATTCAAATAAAGCTGATAGATCCTCCCGCAGCGGGGTACAGTCCATTTCACACTGGACTTTAAAGTCTAGCTCTATGCTGATGGGCAACCTGCAGTGTGAAGAGTGGGGGTGAAGGGCAGCAGGTCCCAGGAGATGTGATTGAACCAGGGGTCACACAGGTGAGCATCTGTGTCTGTCACTGTTACTGGACTTAGAACATTAAAAGGAGACCCCTCTCGGCCTTTGATCAGGTCTTGACAAGTTCCTGCTTTTTGCCCGAAGGATGGACATCCGTCGGATCAGCTTCGACACAGAGGACCTGTCCGACGATGTCATCCCACTGGCTGACGTGCGCAGTGCTGTGGCCCTTGACTGGGACTCCCAGGATGACCACGTATACTGGACAGATGTCAGCACTGATACCATCAGCAGGGCCAAGTGGGATGGAACAGGACAGGAGGTAGGGCCCAGTGTGGCTCCAGCCCTTCGGGAGGGGAAGTTTGGGTTCCAGAGCTGGACGAGGGGTGCCGTGGGTGACACAGCTTTCCTTCCTGTCCAGGTGGTAGTGGATACCAGTTTGGAGAGCCCTGCTGGCCTGGCAATTGATTGGGTCACCAACAAGCTCTACTGGACAGATGCAGGTACATCTAGGAGCCGTGGCCTGGCTACCTGAGTCTTCTGAGGCTTTAATACTTATTATCCAAATTGCAGCTTCTGAGCTATGAAGAATTTTGGGTAATGAACTAATGACCTGGGGTTTTTCCATTGATGTCTGAATAAAACTTTAGGCAGTTTTCTATGAATCTTGGTGGGGGCAGGGACTTGGAAACAAAACAAATACCTTTAAACCAGTGCTTCCCAAAATGTAGTTTCTGAAAAAAAATAAAATTAAATTAAAAAAAAGTTTGCTGCCACTGACAGCTTGTTTGATAATTGTCTGCTTGACTTCATTTGTATAAAAGGAGATATTAAAATATACTATGTATTTCCTCAGACCTACTGGTTATTACTATCATGTAACTTAATATATTAAAATCACATAAAAATTTAAAAAATGTAGTTTCTGGAACAAGAGCATCACCATGCACTAGAAAGTGGTGAGAAATTCACATCCTGAACCCCATACTTACTTAGAATCATGAGGAATTAATTGCAAGAATTTTTTTTTCCGAGACAGGGTTTCTCTGTAGCTTTGGAGTCTGTCCTGGAACTAGCTTTTGTAGACCAGGCTGGCCTCAAACTCACAGAGGCCTCCCGAGTACTGGGATTAAAGGCGTGTGCCACCACCGCTTGGCAATTGCAAGGATCTTTAAAGATTTATTTGTTAATGTGTATGTGTGTGCCTGAGCATATGTATAAATACCATGGATGTACAGGTGCCCATGGAAGCCGGAAGAGGTTACAGGCAGTCAGGAGCTGCCCAGTGTGGGTGCTGGGGATTGAACCTGAGTCCTCTGTAAGAACAGTAGGTACTCCTAATCCCTGCAGCATCAGTCCAGCCCCGGGAATCTATGGTTTAACAAGCTCTTTTCATTCTTATGCACACAAAATTTGAGAATCATTGCCTTGAATCAAAAGAGTTTTTATCTAGGTTTAGGAAGTTGTGCTGTTCTAAGGAAAGAAACTAATAAGTTGAATTTCTTCTCTTAGTTTCTGTCACTAAATATCCACCGTATATGCACCACAAAATCTTTGCTGAGCGGTCACTGCCTACAAGGTGCTGTGCTAGGCATGGGGTGGGGAGAAGAAATGAACAAGACTGGAATTTTCCGTGGCAGGTACAGACCGAATTGAAGTGGCCAACACAGATGGTAGCATGAGGACAGTGCTCATCTGGGAGAACCTTGATCGCCCTCGGGACATTGTGGTAGAACCCATGGGCGGGTATGTGCTATCTCCCCCTCCCCGAGAACTGGGTATAAAAGGGGTGTCTGCACATTAGGGGGGGGCAGATCTGTGGATGAGCTAAGGGCAAAAGGAGGAAGTGAAACCCCTGTCTGTTCCCCAACAAGGAAACCTTTCCATTTGAAATTTTCTTTAAAAAGTTTTGTTGTTGTTGTCTGCTTAGAAAAGTCATTTCATTATTAAAGAAGATTAAATTTTGTAGAGAGTGAAATTTTTACCTCCCAGTGTAATCACTGTTAATGCTTCAGGGTATGTTTTTCCAAAATATATTTTGTTCTAACTGCCTGTAAATATTGGTGGTAGTGGCAGATTTGATTTTATGAAAATGACATACCATTTTGGAGCCCAATAAGTACCTGCAATCCCAGCATTTGGGAGGTGGAGGTAATACGTTCATGAACACAAGGCCGTCCGTTGCCACTCAGCGACTCAAGACTGTCCTGGGCTATATGAGATCTTGTCTCAAAAACAAAACAAAACAAAAATTCCCACCAAAAATAAATCTGGGATGTTTTCTTCCTTCTGCTTTGCCATATGTCTTGTATGTATAGCGCGTTTGAGAGTGTAGTCCTGCTTTGCTCTTCCGCATAACTGCACAGAGTTTGTTATGCTTATGCGCCATAGTTATTTAATACATGTGGTCAAGAAAACATTTTTGCTGGGTGTGGTGGTTCCCCTCCTTTTTCACTCCCATGCTCTATATTCTCAGCCTTGGCCTCTCCTCTACCAAGACTCTGAAGTACCTTTTGATAGTGACTAGAGAGATCTAAGGCCTTCTCCTAAACTCTCTGGGGACCCTGCATCCTCTTTGGTATTTTTTTTTTTCATGCTGTGAATTGAACCCTATACCTCACATATGCTAAGCACTCTTCCAGTAAGACACGCTGAAGCCTCCACTGGGTGCTAACTGGAAGTCTTATATCCAGGTACATGTACTGGACGGACTGGGGTGCGAGTCCCAAGATTGAACGAGCTGGCATGGATGCCTCCAGCCGTCAAGTCATCATCTCCTCTAACCTGACTTGGCCGAACGGACTTGCTATTGACTACGGGTCCCAGCGGCTGTACTGGGCTGATGCTGGCATGAAGACCATTGAGTTTGCTGGGCTGGATGGCAGCAGGAGGAAGGTAAAAGTGCCACTAAAGTGTCTTCTCACAGCTCTGGAAGCCCAGGACAGCATTCTCAGGTGACAGGAGCTAGGGGGACCCCGAGTGGTGGGACCAGCAGGGGAAAGATGCTGTTTCTCCAAAGCTGTAGCTACAGGGGACACAGGGCTGCTGGTTGATTAGTCAAGCAAACTAGGAATTAGTGTGAAGTGTGGGCTGGACACACACAGACACCTAATATCCATTGCAACTAGCAATAATCAACCACTTGTTGTATGCTGGACTGATGACTGAGCTGCCTCTCCTTTGCCATTGTTTATTTTGTTATAATTTCTAACTTTAAGAAAAATTGGCAAGAGTATAAGAGGAATAATATTTTGCCGTGTTTCCTATACCATGCTCATTCTCCTCTTTCCCTCTCCCATCTCTCTCCACACACATACACAAATATAAACACACATACACAGTTATTTTTCTGATTCATCTGAGATTAAATTGGAGAAATCTTGGCATAATTCCAAAATATTCCAGTGCATATTTCTTAAGAACAAGAACCTTATGTGGTGAAATTGAATGTGGAGATGGCACAGTAGGTAAAAGCATTGGTCATATAACCATGAGAACCTGAGTTCAAATCCTGCTGCCCGTATAAAAAATGTACAGAGTAACATGAGTATCTGTTATCTTAGGACCCCCACAGTGAGATGGGGGGCAGAGACGAGCATCCCAGAAGCTTGTAAACAGCACAACACAGAGACCCTGGTGGAAGGCAAAGACACACACACAGGTTGTCCTGACTTTCACACTCGCACTGTGAAGCGTACTCATATAGACACCACACACAAAAATATAAATAACTGAATTAAAATAACATTGGCATACTACTGTATAATCCACACTCTGTTTAATTTCGTTACCTATTTCTTCAGGACTGTTTTTTAAATAATTTTGTTTTCTCTTTTACCCTAATATGTCGGGGTCCGATGCTAGCCTGGACCCTCAATTATTTCTCTTGACCAGACCCCAACATAAACTACCTCTCTCTGGACCTGGGTGGAGGCGTGGAAATAAAGACACAACTCAAATGGTTTTATCGGGAGGGAGTTTCTCAGTGGTCCCTCATGAAATCCTGAGTTCACATCCTGAAGAATTCCTCTCATTTATTCTCCAAACAGTCTTTATACCAAAACCTAACTTAGGGGAAATACATTAGCATTCTGTCTCCTAGGTAACCAGGTGAATGGCTTTCAGTCACGTCCACAACCACCTGTCTGCTGTGTATGCTAGCTGTCACATAGGCTTGAATCAGCATCTCTATCGGGCACCCTCCAAATTATAAAGGAGCAACAACATCCTGACCTTTTGTTAGGTTGCGAAGGTCCGTCTGGTAGGCTACTTGACCATCCTCAGTGGGGCCTATGGCTTCAGAGCCTGGCTGCCACACCATATAGGAATATGGGCCTACCCTAATATCTAATCCAGAATAACCCATTGCCTTTAGTGACCCCTGCCTCCCTTTCTCTGAGGGTCTTACTATGTAGCCCAAGCTGGTCTCAAACTTGGGCAATCCTCCTGTCTCTTCCTCCTCAGTTCTGGGACTATAGACCTGTATCAGCAGGCCCAGCTCTGTGTCTCTTTACCCTCTGATCTGGCTCCTTCCTCAGACTTTCTTAAACTTCCTGTTTAAAATAACACCATTTATTTAATGTGTGTGTGCATGTGCTACGGTGCGTGTGTGGTTTACAAGATCCTCTCCTCCCATCATTATGGATTTCAGAGATTGAACTCGGGTCACTGTTATGCCCAAATCCGTCCCATATGTAAAAGCAAAGAGCCTTTATTTTAATCAAGTTTTCAAACTCGGTCTCTCCACATGTCCAACATATTAGAATATCTGGAGAGCCCCGAGCTCAATTAGAGTTGGGTTTTTATAGTAGTAAAAGTGGGGGTGAGGGGTCTCTGAGGTTGTCTAGGGGTGTCCTGGTGAGGTGCTGGCAGGTGTTTCTATCTACAGTCCTTTGAATGGTCTGCTCTTGGGTGGGGGTCGGGTAATCTCAGCCTGTCAGGCATTGTCTCAGTAAACTATTGAGACTCTAGACTCCATTTACAGTTATCGATGGCCAGAGTCCCAGGTGACAGTGGTTGGAGGAAGTGAAGCACTTCCTTTCTGCCCAGACTTAGATGATCATGGCTGGCCCTCACAGTCACCATGTTTGGTGGCAAGCACCTTTACCCACGGAGCTGTCTTGCCGGCCAGTCTTTCCATTTTCAAAAAGGAAAACTCCCTTTCTTTTGTAGATACAACGATATCTATTTTGATTGCTTGATCGAGGGTGTGAATGCTATAAAGTTGCTCATTTTCTTTTTGTGATTTGAGCCAAGCCATGAAATTGGTACCACAGTACCTAACGGTACCCAGCTCGGCGCTAACACGTGCTGGCAGACACAAGCTCTCACGTGCAGGCGCTGTGGTACAGCTTCCAGCACCTTGCTGGGCTCTTGCCTGCTCCCTGGACTGTTTGTGATGCCAGTGTTGGGGCCTGCCAGGTGCTGATTGGAAGTCAGCTCCCCCACCCTTTCGGGCTGACTCTGTATGGACAGCGCATCTATTGGACTGACTGGCAGACCAAAAGTATACAAAGTGCTGACCTGCAGACTGGGTTAGACCGGGAGACTCTGCAAGAGAACCTAGAGAATCTCATGGACATCCATGTCTTCCATCGCCAGAGGCCTCCAGGTGAGCAGCTATCAGCAGTTGCTAGCTTCTCCCTCAGCCGTCTTATGCCCTAGCCTGTCCCACTGATAGTTCCCCGCCCTGTACAGTGACAACGCCATGTGCTGTGGAGAATGGTGGCTGCAGCCATTTGTGTCTCCGGTCCCCAAATCCAAGTGGTTTCAGCTGTACCTGCCCCACGGGCATCAACCTGCTCATTGATGGCAAGACATGTTCCCCAGGTGAGTTTGTGTGGAGAAGGGGCTGTCCCTCCTCTGCAGGAGTCTTCCGACATGCTCTGGGGATCTGTGAGTGCCGCTGCTCCCAGGAGCTTAGAGGAGAGAGTGGAGCTCTGAGAAGAGAGAGAAGTGGAGGAGCAGGTAGGCGGGATGGAGACCAGGGTCTATTTCCTTATGGCCATCTTGTTAGGAGAAAGATGTCCTGTCTCAACAGTTTCAGCTGTTGCCAAACTACAATATGATGATTTGTTCAGACTCTTCACTTCTTTCTGCATAGACTTGTGTGCAAATGTGTGGCAAAGATGTGTGGCAAAGATGTGTGGCTTTTGTGAGCAACAGGACCTAGGTATCATTCTTATGGGAGTGTCCCAGAAGTAGGGCCTGGATACCCAGATGTTGGGGGAGAGTGGTCAAGGTATCTCCTAGGTGATACCGTGTGGTAGACTGCATTTGAACTCCAACTTCCTAAAGAAGCTGAGTGCCTCTCAACTTGCAAATGAAGCTTTCTGGGCCCCTTTTCTACTTTTCTTAAGCTTCATGATAAAAGGGTCCTTCAAAGAGGGCTGCTGTTACAATGCTGCTCTTTGTTACACTTACGCTTAATATTGTGTGTCTGTGTGTGGGAACTTGAGGGAGTCTTTCCTCCTCCCACCATATGGGTCCCGGGGACTGGACTCAAGTCATCAGGCCTGGTGGCAATCACCTTCACCCCTCCCCGAGTCTTCTTACCAGCCTCCTTCCATAATATAGATGAAGAGGTGATATGTGCCTATAATGCCAGCACTTGGGAGAATCAGGAGTTGAAGCCCTCCTCATCTACACAATGAGGTCAAGGCCAGCGTAACCCCTTTTCAAGCTCTCCCACCCTCCAGAAGGAAGTACCACCCATGCATGTGTATGAAGCCTAATTCTCAGTGCTTTATGTATGCACATTACTTCTTTGGATGCTTATAGTTATCCTGTTACTATGGCCATTGTATAGAACAGAACACCGAGGCCTAAGTAATTTCAGTGATTTGCCTAGGATCACACAATTAGACCAACAGTGGGAGGCTCTGGGCTTCGGTTTGCCCACCTCCAAATCCTCTTAGTGCCTCTACTAGAGTGACTATCTCCCTCCTTCTCTTTCCACCTGGGCAGGCATGAACAGTTTCCTCATCTTCGCCAGGAGGATTGATGTACGCATGGTCTCCTTGGACATCCCTTATTTTGCTGATGTGGTGGTCCCAATCAACATGACTATGAAGAACACTATTGCCATTGGAGTGGACCCTCTGGAAGGTCTGTGTGACCCTTCTTCCCTCAACAAAAGCTGTCATTGTCCTTTCGTCCTCTCGCCTTTGCCTTCTGCTCCTTCCGTCCTTGCCAAGAGCTGTCCTCCTTTGCCGTTCTTCCCCCCTCCACCCATTCATTTCCCCAGGTTGGGACTATGGGGTCTTTGATCAGGCTCCAGGCAGGGCAGGGCCTGGACTGAGTCAAGCCTTCCTTCTCAGGAAGAGTGTACTGGTCAGACAGTACACTGCACAGGATCAGCCGTGCCAGCCTGGATGGCTCACAGCATGAGGACATCATCACTACAGGTGAGCCTTTCCCTCAACCCAAGGGCCACCTGTTTGGCTACACTGGGGAATATCCCGTTTGCCTGAAGGCGGGGGTCAGTGTGTTCTTCTGACGTCCTATAGGTCTGCAGACCACAGATGGACTTGCAGTGGATGCCATCGGACGGAAGGTCTACTGGACAGACACAGGAACAAATCGGATTGAAGTCGGCAACCTGGATGGGTCTATGCGGAAAGTGTTGGTGTGGCAGAACCTCGACAGTCCCCGGGCCATTGTACTATACCATGAAATGGGGTGAGAGTTGGCTTTATCAGTCTGGACTGCTGAGTGCACCAAGCTTAGCTGGGGCTATGGAAATGTATTTGAGGAGCACTGTGAGCCCCAAAGGTCACTGTAGACTAAGTCCTGACCCAGGGCTCCTCCACTCCCTGGCAGTTTCTTTCATTGCGTCAGCATAGCATGCAGCTTTAAAGCATGAGCCTTGCCGTCAGAAGACAGGATTCGAGGGTGGGGAGATGCGGCAGTTGGCAGAGTGCTTGCCACACTAGCATGAAAGCTGAGTGTGGAATCGCAGTACCCACACAGAAAGCCAGGTCCAGTGATATGAGCCTATGATCCTGGTACTGGGGAGGCAGAAATAGGAGGACCACTGGAGATTGCTAGCCAGCCAGTCTTGCTGTATCAGTGAGCTCCAGGTTCAGAAGACCTGATCTCAAAAAAAAAAAAAAAAAAAAAAAAAACAGTAGCGCGTGAGCACCATCAACCTCTGGCCTCAAGCCTCGTGTGCACACACACACAAAGACCAATATTTAAATTCTTTCATGTGTAGTGGCTTCCTCACTGTGGATCTAATGTTTGAACTTTCTGATCCTTATCAGCTTTCTCCCTGGCCATAAAAGTGCAGACCTTGTCACCCACCCTTGCAAAGTGAGGCAATGCATGTGAAGTGTCTGGCATGTTGCAGGAACTCACAGGATGTCTGACATACTGCTGGTATTTACAGTATACGGGAGCTGTTGGGATAACTAGCTGCTTCGTTTCCTTAACCAGGTTCATGTACTGGACAGACTGGGGGGAGAATGCCAAGTTAGAGCGGTCTGGAATGGATGGTTCAGATCGCACTGTGCTTATCAACAACAACCTAGGGTGGCCTAACGGACTGACTGTGGACAAGACCAGCTCCCAGCTACTGTGGGCTGACGCCCATACTGAGGTGAGAGCCCTGCCCCTGCTTCCCGGGAGTCTCAGGAGACAGAAGAGATCTGCTGAGGATCTTCAGCAAAGGCTTCTGGTAGACAATAGCCGCCTCCCTCCAATCTCCTCCGCAGAGAATTGAGGCAGCCGACCTGAATGGTGCCAATCGACATACATTAGTGTCACCAGTACAGCACCCATATGGCCTCACTTTGCTTGACTCCTATATCTACTGGACCGACTGGCAGACCCGTAGCATCCACCGGGCCAACAAGAATACCGGTAGCAATGTCATCTTGGTGAGGTCCAACCTGCCAGGCCTCATGGACATCCAAGCTGTAGACCGGGCACAGCCACTGGGTGAGAAGACCCCTGGGGCTCTGAGTCAGGGCCTCTGCATTTCTGGGACTACAGCAACAGAAGGCTATAGCCAGGGCACAGAATTACTTACAATCAGAGAGACTTTCTGAGCCCATGTCCAGTATAAGTCTTTTTTCCCTCTAGGTATGACTGGTACCACAGGTCTATGCTACTGCTACCTCCAAAGAATTCTCAGAGATACTTGCTCTGCCTCACACTTCTGTCTAACCCTGAATCTTGTCACTAGAAGCAGTGAACAGCCAGCCATAAGAAACTAGTTCCTTTATGATAGAGTCTGCCAGCCCCCCAGGCTGGGTGTGAAAGCTCGCTGCTCCTCTCCCTCCAGGTTTTAATAAGTGTGGCTTGAGAAACGGTGGCTGTTCCCACCTCTGTCTACCTCGGCCTTCCGGTTTCTCCTGTGCCTGCCCCACTGGCATCCAGCTGAAGGGGGACAGAAAGACCTGTGACCCCTCTCCAGAGACCTACCTGCTCTTCTCCAGCCGAGGCTCCATTCGCCGCATCTCACTGGACACTGAGGATCACACAGATGTGCATGTTCCTGTCCCTGGGCTCAACAATGTCATCTCCCTGGACTATGACAGCGTGGACGGAAAGGTCTACTATACAGATGTGTTCCTGGATGTCATCAGGTGTGAGTGGCACCGAGACCGGCAGGGGACACGGAGCTGTAGCCCTGCCCACTTCACAGGATGCCATATTCTATTGCTTGCTTGTTGGTTTAATGATTATAAGCTACTCAGGAGGCTGAGATTGGAAGATCACTAGTTTGAGGTCAACATGGGCAAGGTCCAGTCTCAAAAAATAAAAACAGAGCTGGTTATGGTATTTCCCCTTCTATAACCTCAGCATTAGAGAGGCAGAAGCGGGAAGACAGTGAGTTTAACATTAGCCAGACAATATGGCAATCTGTCTCAAAAACATAGTAAACAGAATGTACCTCAGTTTATAGTGTTTGTCTAGTATGCACAAAACCCTGGGTTTGATTCCCAGTGCTGCTAAAGTGGGCTCTAGAGAAGCAGAGACAGAAGGATCAGAAGTTTAAGGCTATCTTTGGCTATATAATGAGCTAGTTTGAGGCCTGGGCTACATGAGACCCCTTCTCATAAACATATCTATCTATCTATCTATCTATCTATCTATCTATCTATCCATCCATCTATATCTGTCTCTATATCTATCTGTGTGTATATACATCTATGAAACCAGATATATTAAATAAGAAACCATAAAGCCAAGTTGGGAACCTGGATCACCCACACTTAGTGCCAGGCCATGAGTGGGCTCTAAGACTCCCCTAAGGTAGATGAAAAGTTGGAATCTATATTGCAGCATAGGAACTTTAACCCAATATTAAGTTTTAAATTTTACAAAGTTGTTTTGAGTGATTTTTTACCATTCTTTTTATTCTTTACTTCTCTTATTTCAACACAACTCAAGAATATGATGTTATACAAGTGATTTTACCATGGCAGAGACTAAACCCAAGACCACTGCCCTACCACTGAATTACACTCCTAGTCTTAATCTCCCTGTCTCATAACCACCCCCAGGTAGCAATCCTTGTGTTCTCACAAAGACATATTAGCAATTATTAGTTTGCCCTGGGGTAAAACACTCATCCAAACCGTCTACTACTTCCAGTTTGCAGGAAACACTCTGAGAACTCACATTCATTCCTCATGTACTGAGCACTTATCATGCCGGGTGCTGAGGAACTTATTTTATCCCTGTCTGTGGAGCTTACAGTAAGTTTCAGGGTATTATATTATTTCTGGTTAGTCTTGTTACTCATGTAACCCTGTATTGTCCCCAAGGCGAGCAGACCTGAATGGCAGCAACATGGAGACTGTTATTGGGCATGGCCTGAAGACCACTGATGGCCTGGCAGTGGACTGGGTTGCCAGAAACTTGTATTGGACAGATACAGGTCGAAATACCATCGAAGCATCCCGGCTGGACGGTTCCTGTCGCAAAGTGCTTATCAACAACAGTCTAGACGAGCCCCGGGCCATTGCCGTTTTCCCCAGAAAGGGGTAAGCTCATGTCTAGCAGGAGGGCCTGGTACAAGAGAAGCTCCCGGAAGGTGTTTACAAATTAATGAATTGTTATCCACTATGTTGTGTCGACCTCTTGGCACCGTCTCCCCATGCATTGTGACAATGGCACTATTGTGTCTTAGGTACCTCTTCTGGACAGACTGGGGTCACATTGCCAAGATTGAACGCGCAAACCTGGATGGTTCTGAGCGGAAGGTCCTCATCAACACAGACCTAGGCTGGCCCAATGGCCTTACCTTGGACTATGATACCCGCAGGTGAGAACCCTGTCCCAAACAGCCACCTGGAAATGTGTTGGGTCAAGGAGAGGACAGAGATTGACACGGGGAAAAGAAAAGATGGATAGGTCTTTAGGAGACCAGGAAGAGAAAACTACGGAAGGGATGAGACCACACAGTCTTAGCACAGGAGTTGCTGAATCCAGCCTTGGGCCCTCTGTGGGGTTTGGACTCCTTGGTTTATAAGTCTTGGAGGACCTTTAGTAGACAGTGTGTCCTGTTTTCCATTTATGGGCTGGTTCTTAGATTTGTTAGATTTGTTGAGGAAGCAACAGGCTCTGAAACGGAACTCTTCCTCTAGATTTTATATATATACCCAAATGTGAAACTCTGAGGGGCAGAGGAGGGTGGCTTCTCCTTCCTGCCTGCAAAGGAAAAGAACTAAGGTCACCTGGAGAGTTGGTCAAGAATCCTCTTCTTTTAACATTGGTTAGGGCCCCATGGCCTGAGCTCTCTTTCTGAAGACCATTTGTAGAAATGTGGGCTTAGATTTCTAGACAGGATCCAAAGGGTGATCAAAATGTCAAAGGAGAGGCTGGGGTGACTCCTCTAAGATGTCTAGAGTCTCCGCGTCTCTGCAGCGCAGCTCCAGCCTCCCTCCCTCCCTCAGCTGGGACTCACGGGGCAGTGCAGCTCAGGAAGGAACAGACGGCCCCTTATGGGAAGAACTGGGCTGCCCTGCACACATCTGTTTCCCTTCTCTTTCTTTGCAGGATCTACTGGGTAGACGCACATCTGGACCGGATCGAGAGTGCTGACCTCAATGGGAAGCTGCGGCAGGTCCTGGTCAGCCACGTGTCTCACCCCTTTGCTCTCACACAGGTACTGGTTCAAGAGAGTAGTAACGAAACCTCCCTGGCTGAGGTGTTTTCTGGGGGGTACTCTGCTATTCTGGCCTAGCACTTCCAAGTTCTATCATTTGAAGACATGGCTCTCAGAGGTGCACAGAGTTGGCTCTGGAGCTGTTAGATGCAAGTGCTGGGGCTCTGACTATAGACACGTCGGCCCAGGAATATTTAATTTTGATAAATTGCCCTATTGATCCTACTGCTGTGGGTTGTTTTAGCTGACAGCTCTAGGGTCCATGCATCAGAGAAGCCCCGAGGCAGGAGCAGGAGGCAGCCAGCTGGTTACAGTGTATCTGCAGTCAGCACAGACATTGGTGAAAGCTTTGCCCAGCTACCTCAGACACACTCAGTTCTACCTACTTGACAAACATCATCCATTCTACATTGTTTCTTTCTTTCCTTTTTTTTTTTTTTTTTAAGATTTCTTTGTTTATTACTTACACAGTGTTCTGCTTGCATGTTTACCTGCATGCCAGAAGAGGGCACTAGATCTCATTATAGATGGTTAAGAGTCACCATGTGGTGGCTGGGAATTGAACTCAGGACAGGAAGAGCAGACAGTGATCTTAATCTCTGAGCCATCTCTCCAGCCCCGTATTGTTTCTTTCTGATGCCAGGAGTTGAACCTGTAGCACTCTGCCCCAGAGCTACATGCCCAGTCCTGCGTTGTGTATTTGATTTTACCAGCCAGAAAGGTTTTGTCTGGGCTTACCTGATGAAAGGCTAATAATGGACGTATTTTCTCAGTCTACGAGTGTCCTCCAGAACCCCTATCAGAGTGCGCCACCGAGGAGAAGGAGAATGACGCTTTCATTTCCCTCTCTCCCTTGACTGAGAATCTTCCCACCAGTGAAATGCATGGTGGGGAAACTGTCCACAGAAATGAGCCAGAGTATTTTAGCCAGAGCACTGAACAAAAAGACCAAACCAGGAAAGGCTGGCGTGAACTTCTGGATTCCTACCTGCTGGGTAGTGAGCCCTTCACTCTCCTGGCGAAGGACTGATGTAGATCTGCAGACTCAGACGAGCCGTGCACATTCTTCACTCTTCCAGCGAAGGACTGGGATGTAGGTCTGCAGACTCAGATGAGCCGTGCACATTCTTGAAGAAATGAACCGGACCGGGATAACTCTAGCACTTAGGGGGGAGAGGCAAGAGGTTCTTGAGTGTGAGGTCTGCCTGAGCCACAAAGTCTCAAAAACACAAACCATAGCTAGGCCTGGCGAGACGTACCTATTGGTTCAGCACTTGGGAAGTGGAGGCAGGGGGATTAGGAAGGAGTTCAAAGCCATTCTTAGCTACATAGCAAGTTTGAGATCAGTTTGGGCTATATGAGAGCCTGCCTCATTAAACAAACACAAAGCAGATAAACAATCGAACAGACAAAACTGAGTCGGGTGGAGCGGACAGAACACCAGCAGTTCACTGCTGCCTGCCAATGCCATGTGAAGGACCTGCATACGCAGAACAACATGGAGGGGAGAGGACACTCCGTGAATTCGGGATGACTTCCTGAATATCTGGGCCTGTGTTGAGGGACGCTGCTCGTTCGTTCCCAGCCACTTAGACCCAAAATAACCACACAGAAACCATATTATTTAAATCACTGAAGTGTATTGCTAGCTAGCTCTTATATCTTTGGTTAACCCATTTCTCTCTCTATATATATATATATCTCGCCACGTGACTGTGGCTTACTGGCAAGGTTCTGGCTGGGGGCTTGCGTCTTTTCCCTCTAGTGGCTCCATGGCCATTGGCTTCTTTATTTATTGATTAACAAAAGCAACACATACACAGAAGGACCTCTTACACTAGGCATGCGTAGAGTTGATCTGGGGATCAGAGACAGAATGTATTTCAGCAGAGGGAGAGCACACACTGAGGCAGAGAAGGGGCTCTGGGATCTGACTGCTGAATACTTCTTCTTTTGGGTTCTTTATTGAGTAGCAGGACAGGTGGATCTACTGGACAGACTGGCAAACCAAGTCCATCCAGCGTGTTGACAAGTACTCAGGCCGCAACAAGGAGACGGTGTTGGCCAATGTGGAGGGACTCATGGATATCATCGTGGTGTCCCCTCAGCGGCAGACAGGTGCGCCCCTTGGAACTGAACCCCTTTCCTCTCCATCAGTGGGACTGGCTCTGGTCACCCCACTAACAGGCCAACATAATTAGAGCCACAAGAAAACCTTGTGGTTATCACCTTCCTGCCCTATTGTCCTAGGAATGGGTGTCCCTGAACTTCCTCCCATTCTGTCTCAGACCTGACACATCTGCTTTGCCTCCAGGGACCAATGCCTGCGGTGTGAACAATGGTGGCTGTACCCATCTCTGCTTTGCCAGAGCCTCTGACTTTGTGTGTGCCTGTCCTGATGAGCCAGACAGTCAGGCCTGCTCCCTTGGTGAGTTCTCCCTGGAACGACACAGCCCTTGGAAAGCGATGGGATTGGCAGCCTCAACTCTGTCCTTTTAGGTAGCATCATAGTGGTATAATGTAGGAGAGGTCGAGGTCTCGTGAATTCTCCCAGTAGCCCTTGCACTTCCTCTTCCTGTAAGCAACCAAAGATGACCCGTGAAGATGGTTCGCTACTCTCTTGACCCAGAAAACCCTACAAAATCATGCAAATCGAGAGGATCAAACCTTCAGGTTCACTTTAAGAACACCCGTGAAACGGCCCAGGCCATCAAGGGTATGCATATCCGAAAAGCCACCAAGTATCTGAAAGATGTCACTTTGAAGAAGCAGTGTGTGCCGTTCTGACGGTACAATGGTGGAGTCGGTAGGTGCGCCCAGGCCAAACAGTGGGGCTGGACACAGGGTCGGTGGTCAAAAAAGAGTGCAGAATTTTTGCTGCACATGCTGAAAAATGCAGAGAGCAATGCTGAACTTAAGGGTTTAGATGTGGACTCTCTGGTCATTGAGCACATCCAGGTGAACAAAGCACCTAAGATGCGCCGACGAACTTACAGAGCTCATGGCCGGATTAACCCATACATGGGCTCCCCCTGCCACATCGAGATGATCCTCACTGAAAAGGAACAGATTGTTCCAAAGCCAGAAGAGGAGGCTGCACAGAAGAAAAAGATATCCCAGAAGAAACTGAAGAAATAAAAACTTATGGCACGGGAATAAATTCAACATGAAATAAATGCAGATAAAAGTAAAAAAAAAAAACAAAAAACAAAAAACATAGTGGTATAATATAAATGAGCTGGATGTTTGGGCCCGGCCGTTATTAGAACAGAACCCTGGGCTTGTGATGTCTTGCTAGAGATCATGATCATCATCTCTATTCCTAATCCTTGGGAGCCAGTGATTTTTACCTAGAATCACTAATACTAAATCCGAGTCTTTTTTAATTTATAGCAATAAAACATAGTGCCTGAGATTAGGGAATCTAAAATATTCTGTCAAGACTTGGATTCTGTCAAGACTTGTAGCTGCTACTCCTGAACCATGGATAGGTTTCGAGCAGCCCATTGCAATCTTTTCTCTGCAGTGCCTGGTCTAGTGCCTCCTGCTCCCAGAGCTACCAGCAGGAGTGAGAAGAACCCAGTGCTGCCCAACACATTGCCCACCACCTTGCGTTCTTCTACCACCAGGACCCACACATCTCTGGAGGGGGCAGAAGGAAGGTAAGTAGGGTCAGGTCAATACAGGATTTAGATCACCATACCCTACTAGTAAAAGAGCATTGTTCCAGTTTCACAATCTGGCAGATGAGAGACAGAGCACATCATTAGCCTCTAGTTCCTATGTGGGACACGGTGTGATGTTTGTAATTGTAGGTTGCTGCAATGACCCCCACCCCCAAGTCAGGGTTCCTCTGTGTAGCCTTAACTGTCCTGAAACTCGCACTGTAGGCCAGGCTGGCCTCAAACTCACAGAGATCTGCCTGCCTCTGCCTCCTGAGTGCTGGGATTAAAGGCGTGCACTACTACCACTCAGCAATTTTATTTATTTATTTATTTATTTATTTATTTATTTATGTGTGTATGTATGCGTGTATTCGTGTGCATGCTTGTGAATGTCATTTGTGCACGTGTGGAAGATAGCTATCACGCATCCTCTATTTCTGTACCCTTAGACAAGGTCGCTCACTGAACTTGAAGTTCCCTGTACTTTTGGCTAGGATGGTGACCAGCAGTTGTCCTGTCTGTGCCCTCCCCTGGTAGCGTTATAGCATCATATGATGTGTGATTGTGCAGTCATACCCAGCTTTTCACATGGGTGCTGGAGCACAACAAGCGCTCTTATTCACTGAGTTATCTCCCGGTCCCTGATCGCTTTTCATTTCTGAGGACAATAAGCTGAAAACCGGTTTTCTAGAGACTCCTAAATGCACTCCTCTGTGCTGCTCATTTTCCTTCAGTCTCATGGCACAGCGCTCGTATTATGTTTTTCCTACAACTGCGCACCACAGCTGGAGAACACTGGTTTGTCTCTCTCTATCTACAAGATAACTTACAAGTTAACTTCTCTGGACTAAAAGATAACATCCAGCTGGAACCCTGTGCCTTTCTGACTAACTTTGAAATGCTATCCATCATCTTTAATTTTATGTTTTCTTTAGAATCTTTTTATTTTCACAGTGCTAGAGAGTGAACTTCACACATGCTAGGCAGGTACCCCAGCGCTGAGCTACACTTAATTTCTAGGTTTATTTGGGAAACATCTGGACCCTCCTCAGACCTTTTTCTTCCTGTGTGTGTACATACATGTTCCTATGTGTGTGTGGAGGCCAGTGGTAATGTGCAGTTTCTTTCTCAGTTGCTTCCCACATTATTTTCGAGACGTGGTCTCTCCCTAACTTTAGCTCTCACCTGCTGTCTAGGCCAGAAGCTCCAGGGCTCCTCCTCCAGGCCAGCACAGCGCTTTTTATGCTGGTGCTGGGATTCCAAATTCAGACCTGGCAAGAACCTTACCCATCGAACTATATCTCTTTGGGTCCTCTTTTTTTGTTTTTGTTTTGTTTGTTGATGTTTTGTTTGATTGTTTGTTTTTTAATTCTCATATATTTCAGCCCCTTGCTACTTTGTTTGTTTGTTTTCTGAGACAGGGTTTTTCTGACTGTCCTGGAACTCTCTTTGTAGACCAGGCTGGCCTTGAACTCACAGAGATCCACTTGCCTCTGCCCTCTAATGCTATGATTAAAGACTTGCATCACCACCTCCCTTGTTATTTCTTTCTAGCCTGTGGTAATAAATGTTTTGGTTATTTAAGTGTGTTAGCTGGAATATAACTTTATAGAGAAACCCTACCACACATGACTAAGCAGAACATAGGTGCTGAAAGAAAACAGTTTCCTCTTTTTCTTATTACCATTTTATGTGCATATGTCCCACAACTGAAGAAACAATAATAACAATACCTAATATTTCTTTAATTTTTTTTGCTTATTCTTTGACAATTTCCTATCCATTCTGCCTGAACGTTTTTTTCAGACAGGGTCACTATGTAGCTTACTATCCCTCACACTTGGGAAGCTCCAATACTCACCGTATGCATTTCCTCAGGTCTTTCCCAGTGGAGTTCCAGTTGAAGATTCATTGTCGTGTTCTGTCTGTAGGTCTTTCCTCCAGGCTGTTGGGCAGTGCCTTCAATTGCTTGTCATAATATACCAGTTACCTTATGAGCACTACAAGTGCACTAGCTGGGCACTCCCTTGGGGTGTCTTGCTTATTCCCTTGTGAGACAATGTAGACAAGAAAAACAATTTTTTTAACCTTGTGATAACCAATCAGATTTGCTTGGTTAGCAGCTGTTTCCCGTTCTTTCTTGTAGTATAGGAAAGATTTGAATTGGTGTCCTTAGAACTCTGTCTAGCTCACTCTAAAACTGCAACTTTTAAATGTACATAATTGAAAACATATTTAATCATGGCATAGCAGTTGGAAAATACTGGTCCGTCCCCCCCCCCCCCCCCCCCCCCCCCCCCCCCCCCCCCCCCCCCCCCCCCGTCCCCTCCCCTATGTATCTCTGGCTGTTCAGGAACTCCTATGTAGACCAGGCTGGCCTCAAACTTGCAGAGGTCCGCCTATCTACTTCTGCCTCCCACGTGCTGGGATTAAAGGCCTGTGCCACTATGCCTGGTTTAATACATTATATTTTCATTCCATTTGGGGGCACATATTCCAGCACATGTGTAGGTCAGAGGACAAGTTGTAGGAGTTGGTCCTCTCCTTCTACCGTGTGGATTCCAGGGATCACACTCAGGTCATCAGGCTTGGCAGCAAGACTTTACCTGCTGAGCCTGACTCCCTGATAGATTACGTCAGGCCCGAAAGCCCTATTCACAGCCTTTCCTTTCTTTCCTGGAAGACAGTGAGGATCTGTTTGCATGCAAGAAGCCTTCATGTCTGTTTTTATGCCCTACAGATGCTCTGAAAGGGATGCCCAGCTGGGCCTCTGTGTACATTCCAATGAGGCTGTACCTGCTGCTCCAGGTAGGTCCTGTTTATCTGCTTTTGAAACAGACTATTAGTATGTAGGCCATGGTGGCCTCAAACTCTGAATCTTCCTGCCTCTTGTCTTCCAAGTACTGCGACTACAGTCTGGGTACACCGTCACACCTAGCTTATGGACCACAGTCCTGTTACACCGTCCAGTCCGGGTACACCATCACGCCTAGCTTTATGGACTACAGTCTGGGTACACTGTCCACCATCACACCTACCTTTATGGACTCACTTCTCTCCTAGCTTTTGTGAAGAGTCTTCATCAACTCTCTTCATTGACTAAATCCACAGAAATAACAATCCTAAAAGTCACCATTTCCCGTGTGCCTGCCAGGCATTTGATAAGCACTCTATGCCATGTATATGTGTGTGTGGGTACTATGGTGCCAAATCTTAGTTAGGGTTTCTACTGCAGTGACAGAGACCATGACCAAAAGCAACTTGGGGAGGAAAGGTTTATTTCATCTTGTAACTCAGGTCACAATCTGCCACTGAAGAAAGTCAGGGCAGGAGCTAAAGAATAAGCCATGGAGGATTCTGCTTACTGATTTGCTTCTTGTGGCTTGCTCGGCCTGCTCTCTATCTATATTAGTCCTTTGTTAGGACTGCCTGCCCAGTGGTGGAACTGCCCTCCCCATGGCTCACCCATATCAATCTTTAATCAAGAAAATGCCCCACAGGCCAATTGGGGGCTTATTCTCAATTGAGGTTCCTTCTTCTCAAATGACTCCAGCCTGTGTCAGGTTGACAACAAAACTAAGTAACCAACATGTGGTCCTTACCCATGAAAGATACACTCTAAACTCACTAGTGAGACCTGAAACCTCAGGGAGTACTAAATAACCAACATGTGGTCCTTACCCATGAAAGATACACTTTAAACTCACTAGTGAGACCTGAAACCTCGGGGAGTACTAAATCCTATTGCACTCTGTTTTTCCTATACGTACAATATCTATGATGAACTTTATTTTTTAAATTAGGCAACAGTGATTAATAATGCAATAAAACATTTTAACAATCTACTATAATAAAGTTATATGAATATCATTGCTCTTTTCTCTCCAAAGATTTTAATTTCTCATTGTAATATAATGTTATTTCCAGGCTGTCATTGCTGATGGGTAACTAGAATGACAAAAGAGAAATCATAAATTAGAGGGGCTACTTATGTGTATACATGTGCACTGCCATTCACTTTCCACAAGTTATGTCTAACAGATGAGAAATGTGCACTCAAGTTAATCATCTTGCCTTATGTCACAGTATGTAAGTGGTAGGGCTGGTTCTGGAGATGCTTTCTTATGTCACAGTATTTAAGTGGTGAGGCTGGTTCTGGAGATTCTTTCCCGCCCATCCTCTGCTCCTTGCTTCTGTGACCACTCACCATCCTCAGACAAAAGGCACCCTTACACCAGCAACATCAGTGTTTGCCTGTCTCTGTTCTCCTAGGTGAAGGACTTCACATCAGCTATGCCATCGGTGGGCTCCTCAGTATTCTGTTGATTTTGGTGGTGATTGCAGTTTTGATGCTGTACAGGTAACCTCAGCTTTGCTCTATGGGTGACATGTTCTTTGGTCTCTGTTAGCCTGTCTAGGTTCTCTTGAAGGTTCCCAGTTCGCTGAATACCCCTCCACACAGCCTAGTTTGACCACTGTACCAGAGCAGTGGAGCAGTTTGACCAGCTGGAGCAGAGGAAAGTGGAAACCCTCTGTCACAGCCTCAGCCCTTACGGGTGCTGACTTCTTCCTTCCAACCACTGGAGTTGGAAATGGTCTTCCTTTCACACTGCACAACCTCTCAGGCCACATAGTCGGCGTGCATTGCTCCCTGGGCACGACTCTGAGAAGGCGCAATGAGTCATTTTCAACTTAGGATCTTTGTATGCGCCTTTTTCTTTATATTTTCTTCCAATGATTTAAACATTGCAAACAACAAAACTATCTGGATTTTGCAGCCACTGCTGAAAGTAATAATAATAATAATACCACTTGTCTTTTAATGGGACAGTATTATTTACATCCTAACCTGGTAATTTTAGTGTTTCTATTGTTGTAATGACCAAAAACTTGGAGAAGAAAGGGTTTATTTTGATTCCACATCATTGTTATCATCAAAGAAAATCAGGGCAGGAACTTCTAACAGGGTAAGAACCTGGGGGCAGGACCTGATGCAGAGGCCATGGAGGGGTGCTGCTTACTGGCTTGTTTGTCACACCTTGCCCAGTCTGCTTTCTTCTTGTTTGTTTTTTTATTTTTTGAGACAGGGTTTCTCTGTGTTGCCCTGGCTGACCTGGAACTTGCTCTGTAGACCCTGCTGACCTCAAACTCAGCTCTGGAGTACTGGGATTAAGGGGGTACACCACCACACTGAACTTCCAGCATGCTTTCTTATAGAACCTAAACAGCCAGCCTAGGGGTGTCCCCACCCACAATGGGCCAGGCCCACCCACATCAACCACTAAGAAAATGCTCTACAGGTTTGCCTGCTTACAGACCGATCCTATACACCAGTGGTTCTCAACCCTCCTAATGCCGTGACACTGTAATACAGATCCTCATGTTGTAGTGACCCCTAACCATAAAGTTATTTTTGTTGCTACTTCATTACTATAATTTTGCTACTGTTATGAATCATAATGTAAATATTTTTGGAGACAGAGGTTTGTTGAGGGCTTGCGACACAGGTTGAGAACCACTGCTGTAGACTCATTTTTTCAGTTGAGGTTCTCCCCTCTTAACAGCTTGAGCATAAACCTAGCCCCACACCCGGTAACAGAGGTATCACTCCTCCTTTTACAGACAGGACCTGCTTCAGAGAGATTAGGTTATGTCTACCCATAGTCTAGCCAGTAGATCACGGAGGTGGGCTTAAGACAAAGACCCCTCTTTGCATAGCAAGTAACCCCCAAAGCACTGCGTTCACATGATAACCGCTCATGGCCTCACAGCTCATGTGGATTTGAAATCTGGATGCATCTTCACTGTGTGCTTGGCTTCAAGGGCTCTCACAGGTTGCAGTCTGGGTAACAGCTGAGTTATGACCTTATTTCAGGGTTTGACTGGAAAACAAAATCCTTCCAAATCTACTCAAATAATTGTTAGCAGGGTTTGGTTCTTCACTGGCTATTGGCTGGCGTTCCTCTCATCGGCTGCTTGCCTGTGGACCTTTCTAGAAAACAACTGACAACGTGGCAGTTTCTTTAAAGAGAGGGAGGGAAGGAGATAGGGTACACCACTCAAGATGGAAGCTAATCCAGTATCTAGTACTTTTGCATAATGGGTTCACACAAAATGGGTCACCAGCTCCAGCCCACACTCGAGGGGTGAGATTCAGGAGACAGGGACATACTGTAGGTCCCTGGGACCTGCAGAGAAGCAGGCTACCTCCTCCCCCAGTATCATTCCTATAAAGATCTCAACTAATTCTGCTTAAATTTTCCTCTTGAAGACGCAGAAGGTCTAAATTCACGGATCCTGGGATGGGAAACTTGACCTACAGCAACCCTTCCTATCGAACTTCCACTCAGGAAGTGAAAATTGAAGCAGTTCCCAAACCAACCATGTACAATCAACTGTGCTATAAGAAAGAGGTAACAATGGAACTACCTATGTAGGTTTTTCTGGGGGTTGGGGAGCAGGAGAGAGGAGTTAAGACTGAATTGTCTAAGTGGATGAGGAAGGGTCGTGTGCTGTCTGATCTACCATTTTTTGAAATAACAGTGAATAAAACATTGAGTGTGACTTGGGTTTCTGTAAATGTAGAATCTTTGGGGGACCATAGGAAAGGCCAGGCTAAAAGATTTGGGTCTGAAAGCAATGAGTATATGTCTCCCTGAAAGAGATTGTCCAGGTGTGCGGGTGCTTTCCACCTTGGGGCGTCGTAACTCTGTGCTGCAGCTGTACCCCTCTAAAGCAAGGGGGCTTTTATGGACATTACTCCCCAAACCCAAAAGCTCCTGAACTTTTTCTTTGTCTAATCTCTGATCCAAGTACCTGTTTTGGGAAGGGCTAGTTTTTTCTTATTCTTGCTCTTAAGCTTTTAAGAGATTTTTATAGAAATCTGAAGATTTTATGTGTTTTAATTTTTAAATGTTTTGTTAAGTCTTTGCAAAATTATTTACTGATTTAGAAATGAAAAATAGTCCTTTTTTACTGCCAGGGATCTGAGGTCTAAGATGTCAGGTTTTCCTAATCCGATAGAACTTGATTTCTTCTAAAATCCTGTAACTTTCATCAAGTTATCCCCTAAGAAGACCCTTATCAGTCTGCTCTGATTTGTTTAGCAGGTCAACCCTGCTGGACCCTCACTATACACGGTAATCCCTGGATCCAGAAAGTATTTAAAAAGCTGCCACTACAGGCTCCAAAACCACAGAGAAACCCTGTCTCGAAAAACAAAACAAACAAACAAAAAAAAAACTGCCACTATAATTCACAAAACTACCTACAGTTCTGGGGACTGGAAACCTCTCCTCTCTTTCTGAGAAAGACTATTGAGGATTCTTGAGTTCCTGGAATGTGGGCTGTCCCAGAAAAGAATCACAATGAAGGTTATCAGTTAGAGCTGAAATTGGTCTGAGGGTGTAACTCAGCAGTACAGCACAGGCTAGGCCATGCAACGCCCTAGGTCCCATCCCACTACCACAAAAAGGGGAAAAGAAAACTGTGTGACCTCTTTCTCTTGTTGTCTGCTTCTTCCTCAGCAGCTCTTTCACCCTTCTGATAGTCTTTCCCCCTTTCTCTTCTGATCTCCTCTTGACTCCAGGTACCTGTTGCTCTGTGTGTAGAGAAAATGGTGTTTCCAGAACTACCACTGCTGTGTACCCCACCTCTCCCCAACTTACCCAGTGCATTTCTGTGATGAGGACTTGCAGTGGCCTGCATGTTATCCACACTAAGCTCAGCTTGGAGGGTTGCTGGGTGAATGAGCGTTTCTATGTGCGATTGCAGACTCTGTCTCTTTGTGTGATTGAAGGCCGAGCCCATCATCAAGCTCCTAGCATAGAATCTGCTAATGCAGGACCTTAGTACACAAAAATCCTTAATGTATGCACACTGACTTGCTTTTGCCAATTGTTTTTGATTACTTATGCCAGCATGATGCCCCATTAATAAACCACAAGAATGATGCAACAGACTAGTATATGATACAACTTAAAACCTGGGATAAATGCATACTGAATTGCTTTTGATTTCCTTTTTGGCATGATGCCCATTAACAACGCATGGTGACAATACAGCAACAGCTGACATGTTTTAGTGTATCGTGTCCAGTACTCCAACAGATGCATCCCATGAATTGCCCCACTTAGCCCTACAGCAATTGGTGTGACTTGCAGATGCTTTGATTCCCTATACTGCAGATGTGAAGACTGGGTTTTAGAAGTGTTAAGTAATTAGCTCGAGATAGCATAGCTAGTAAAAGGCTGGTGTAGGACCAGAAGCCATGGTTCCCCCTCCCTCTGTGATAATGTAATCATCACCACAGCTGCCCTTAGGTGGGACCTTATTTTTGCTTTGACCACATTGTTCTATCAGTCTGTGGGGTTTTTGTTCTCCATGGCCACTTCAGTTCTGCTTCCATTTTCAGCTTACCATGAAATCATTTATAGAATGCCAACTGACTGCGTGTCTCCATTCTCCACTCCAGGGTGGACCTGATCACAATTACACCAAGGAGAAGATCAAGATTGTAGAGGGAATTTGCCTCCTCTCTGGAGATGATGCTGAATGGGATGACCTCAAGCAACTGCGAAGCTCCCGGGGGGGCCTTCTACGGGATCACGTATGCATGAAGACAGACACAGTGTCCATCCAGGCCAGCTCTGGCTCCCTAGATGACACGGAGACAGAGCAGCTGCTGCAAGAGGAGCAGTCAGAGTGTAGCAGCGTCCACACTGCAGCCACTCCAGAGAGACGGGGCTCTCTGCCAGACACGGGCTGGAAACACGAACGCAAGCTCTCCTCAGAGAGCCAGGTCTAAGGGCCCACATTCTCTTCCCTGCCTGCCCACTCCTTCTCTATGGACTTCCAATCCTTGTGCAGGCCCCTGTCCCATGCGCTCATCTTCTTCCTCCTCCTCCAAACTGCTTCTAAGCCCCCAGAGAGCCTGTTGCTCACCTGAGTCCACAACTACCTGGAGACAAGAAATAAGGGCACATCTCAAGAATTTAGACCTGTTTACCATGAACCTCACTCACCTCTTGTGCTCTAGGCCCCCTGAAACTGGGCTAAGCATGATTCCTGGTCAGCATAGAGCTCCATCTCTCTCTCTCCCCAGGCACCCTCTGTGCCTGCCCCACAGTACCGATGCAATTGATGATGTAAGACTCTTGCCCGTCACAGCTGATAGGATGGCTTCTTTGTGAACTGGCCTACTAGGGGCTGGGACTGGAGGTCACAGGTAAAAGGTAATGGATAGAGGCTGAGAGAAGGGAGAATTGTCCCAGCTGGTCTGGGTGTTTGGAAACCTCCAGCCTCAGAAGCTGGTAACTGAAAAGCTTTTGTGGGGTATTGAGCCCTGGTGTTTTGTCCATTGCTGGCAGTGGACATTTTTCTCACTCAGGAGTCACAGCTTGGTCAGCTATGACACAGGTGAAGTGTGTGGGTGGCTTAAGCTGCTCTTCCTCCTGCTGGAATGTCTGGGGCCATTTCTGTCTTGGATAACTGGAGACCCCTGTCATGGCAACTAACTAAAAGGAACTCCCTCCTGGTGCTGCTATTGGCCAGTACTCTTCCTAAGCCTTTAACTCGGTTGTGAGCCTTGGAGACTAGACCTCTAAGACCTTTAAGAAACTCTGCGTAGGTCTAGCACAGTGTCCTACCTGAGTTTCACTCTTCTGCCTTTCTCTCTCCCGTTCTCGGGGATTCTAAGAGAAGTAATTCTGTAACAAACAGCCTTTCAGAAAATCACTAGACATTTTCCTAAATGGTCAGGAAGAGCAGCCAGAAAAACACAAGTTACCCAGGGGCTCAGGAGAAGTATTATGAAGTTGAAACTCTTGAGTTCATTCTCAAGTGCTCAGGGACACAAGTTCATGGACAACCTGTGGCTCTGTGGTGGAAAAGCTCCCATGCCAGCTCTTCCAGCCACTGTCCACACCCAAGTGCCACCACCTGCTTCATGCTCTTTTGTACCAGGGCTTCTTTCAGCAGAGCGGAGACTTTTTGTGCTGCCCTAAAATGTCTTCATTTCTGAGAAAGGAGAGTCTAGGTTTGCTTTTCCTACCCTAGCCTTGTGCCACCATCAATCTCTAGAGTCCGGTGATGAGGAGGCCAATGAAGACACAAAGTGGTGAGCAAGGAGTAGAGAGGCAGTAAGGGCTGCTCCAGAGCAAGTCCAGGCACTTCTCCCTAGAAACCAAGGTAACGGGAGGGAATGACAGGAGCTGAGAGTGGAGCACAGGGTCTTAGGAGAATTTTTCTGATTTAAAATGTCTCTCATGGTTCTTGCTAGTCAGAGATCAGCAGCCAAACATATGCATGAAAAACAGGACAAGAGCAAATTCTCTCTGGTCAGTTATAGGAGCAGGAGACAGATGTCAAACCAATAGTCGTGTTCTCTGGCCTTTTCCAGCACACCAACTGAGAAAAATACAGCGCCACTTCTAAGAGGAAATAGGGACATTTCACACTGAATGAGGCAGCATTTGAGTCTTTAAATTCATAGTTGGGGAGGAGGGGGAGAAAAAAAAACCAGAAGAGTGTGGCATCCTCCTGAGTGGAAAGGGGCAAGGTTCTTGTTGCACTTGGGCTGTTCAGAATGTAGAAAGGACATGTTTGAGCACTGATTTACTCTGTACAAAGGGCAAAGTCTCTCTGTCCTAAACTAATGGAAGTGGTTTTCCCCATGTTCATGTGTAATGACCCTAACATCACTCACTGGAGAGATTGGACTTTCTGGAGTTATTTAACCACTATGTTCAGTGTTTTAGGGCTTTATGATAATTTAATATAAATTTAGCTTTTCTTAATGACTTTGGCTGGCTTGGAGTCGTGACTAATCTTGCACCTGCATTATCTGGCAGACCCATGATGTAGAAAACCTATTTAGGGACATCACCTCTTACATCTTCAGTGACGTGTGACCCGTGAATAGAATGGGGCTTGTGCTGGAGTTTCTGCTCATCTTGAGAACACAGGTCAAGACGAGAGACTTCACTGACACATTGCCCTGATTTCCTCTAGAGCAAGGACGGCAGGTCATGGGATTGGTAGACGCTGCCTGTCCAGGCAGGATCACAATCATGATCACTAGTGGCATCTCCAGGCTCCAGAAGCTAGTGTCATGACATGGATACCATGAATCTTCTGCTTCTGTTTTCATTCGCTGAGGTCTGTCATGTCATAGAACTTGACTTTGCCTCGCAATGATGATGACTGGCAAAACTGCAACCCAGTGTGAAAAATCCCAGAATGAGACTGGATGTATCTCTGGCACTTTGCCTACACATACTCCAGTTTTTAAAAAGCTACATCCTGCCAGATGTGGTGGCACACACTTTTGATCCCAGCATGCAGAGGCAGAGGCAGGCAGATGTTTGTGAGTTCAAGGCCAGCCTGGTCTACAGAGCTAGTTCCAGGACAGCCAGGGCTACACAGAGAAGACCCTAAAAGCCAACCCTATTTTCCTTATTTACCCACTGTATGCCAAGGTTGGAATAAGATACCAAGGAGCCCACCTCAGGTTCTCTGTACGTTATTCCTGTGAAAAGTAGGAAGCTTTCTAGTCCTAATGCTGTGCACATGTAGAGTTGCTAGGATAATGTCCCTACTCTAGGTGCCACCCATGCCTAAAGAATCCCATCTCACAGTTTGGAGATGAGCAGAAGCACCCTCACCACTCCTGCTCCCCCAAAAGAACAAGAAGAAAAATGAAAAAAGTAAGAAAGTTGTGTTTGATTGGCAAGAGATCTGGATCTAAACCATAATGTATAATTCCCCAGTCTGGGCAGTGGGTAGGTTTACCAGAAACAAAACTCAGTGGAGTAGTTCAAGGACAACTCAACCCCTTCTTCCCCAACATTCTTTAAAAAGAAAACAAGATTCCATAGCAAGAATAGAAGAATCTTAGAATCTTAGGGCTAAGAGGAAGGTTGAGAATTCCTTGTCCAGTTCTCCAGATACAAAGCCTGAACCCTTTACTGGCAGAAGATAAGTCAGATTCTAACAAACTGGGGCTAGGGAGACAGTGGAGTCAGTAAAGGCCTTGCTTTTCTGTGAGGCATGGTGGGCGTGGTTGCAGATGTGGTAGCCTGTTCTAGTGAGTTTGAGGCTAGCCAGGGTTACATAATGAGACCCTGTCTAAAACAAAAAAGATTCCAAAAATGATGGTAAACACTTGAAATGCCAGCACTGGAGAGATGTCGACAGGCGATCCTGGGCCTTACTGGCCGGCCAGCCAGCCTAGTTGAGAGTTGCAGAACAGCAAGAGCCTCTTTCGGTATATGTGAGAGCGTGTTTTCGGAATGGCTCATGAAGGGTGACACCCACGGTTGCCTTGTGGCCTCCATTTACACACATAACACATACCCACCACAGAATTCTGATTAACCAGATTAGTGGCCTGTGCCTAAAATCCCAGCCTTCTGGAGGCTGAAATGGGACATTCTGAGTTTGAGGCCAGGCTGGGCTAGTAAGACTTGTCTTCAAAAATGGACAAAACAGGCTGGAGAGATGGCCACACTTGTGTTGTAGGTAGATAAAACACTCGTGCCTATAAAATAAAAGTAAATATATTTTTTGAAATCACCGAAATGGGTTGGAATAATACTAGCAGTTAAATGTGTTTACCGCTCTTGCAGAGAGTCTAGGTTCAGTTCCCAACACCCACATGGCAGCTCACAACCACATGTAACTCCAGTTCCAAGGAACCTAACTCTGGACGCTTTGGGCACTGAAAGCATACAGTGTACATATAGACATATACACATTAAAAATACATATATTGTGCCGAGCGGAGCCTTTAATCCCAGCACTAGGGAGGCAGAGGCAGGTGGATCTTTGAATTCGAGGCCAGCCTGCCCTACAGAGCTAGTTCTAGGACAGGCTCCAAAGCTACACAGAGAAACCCTGTCTTGAAAAACAAAACAAACAAAAACTAAACAAACCATATATTTTGAAAAAAAAATCAACAAACCTTAAGTATATTTTTGCAAATTACATCCAAAGTGAGGTCACTGCCTTTCAGTATTATAAAAACAAATGGTGGAACCTAAGATGAAAACGTCTGAGGCCTACAGGATGCTCTAAGGAAGAGAATTCTCTTTTAAGTTTTTTTTTTAATTTATTATATATACAATATTATTGTCTACATGTATGCCTTAAGGCCAGCAGAGGGCACCAGACCTCATTACAGATGGTTGTCAGCCACCATGTAGTTGCCGGGAATTGAACTCAGGACCTTTGGAAGAGCAGGCAATACCCTTAACCGCTGAGCCATCTCTCCAGGCCCAGGAAGAGAATTCTTATATGACTTGTTTTGAGTGTGTACATGACATCCCGTACATGTTTGTGGCAGTCAGAGGACAACCTATGGGAATCAGTTCTGTGACCTGAGAACTCAGGCCATCTGCCCTGACAGAAAGCAGCTTTACCCATTTACCCATGTCTCAGACCCTGGTGGGAAGGGAAGGTCTGTGTGACATGGACTGATATTTATCTACACTTAGGCTCAAGAAAACTGAGAGACAGTGGTGATGAGCCCCTTAGAAGCGTTTGAAGAGCTAAGGGCAAAGGGAACTAAGAGGAAATGTGGTTGAAGATCCGAGGGCCCTCAACACCACCACTGAATGGGGGAGAAGAACTGAGGCCCTTTTCTGTTTTTCCAAGGTCTCTAGCTTTTCCTCACAGAAAGATGACTGTTTCCCAGCATCCCCTCGCTCACCTGTTTGTCTTCTAGATCATTTCCCTGCTCCACATCGGGAAGAGTTTTATTTCCAGTTTAGTGTTAAAACATACTCAGTACTCAGTCTAAAGTTCTGAGTTTAAGCCCAAGGTTAAGTTAGTTACTAAGCCACCTCATTTTGTTGAACATAGAGCACCAAGAACCCAGATAGCCTGTTCTTCCCTGTGGGTTAAGCGCTTGTTGACAGCCAATGAGGCTTCTATCTTTCCCTCTGCCTCCTTCCTCTTCTATGAGGCTGATGTTTCTGTGGTCAAAGTTCCCTGGGATAGTCTACATTTTGGAGGCTGGAAAAATGGGCTAAAGACATTATATAAAAGGTTACTTTCCCCTTCATTTAACCAGCACCTATTAACTGTGACAGAGCATAAGCTAGGAAAGGCTTCGCGATCTTTGAGACAGCCACTTGAGATGCGTATTAGTGTCCCCTTTATCTCCAGAGGATTGTTCAGGAGCACTTCAACTGAAGGCAAAAGAAATTGAATCATTGAAGCTGTTTCTCTTAGGCTGGAAATAAGGATCTACATCCCAACGTTGGGATACTTCAACCAGAAGGCAGTTTGTGATTATACACGGAAGAGCACCTGCGCCAACCCTAATGGACTTTTTAGAAATGCCTAACGGTTACTCAGCAGCCACAGTACTTGAGATGAGTTTCCTGTGTCTGGTTCCAAGAATACAGTGTTCGCTTTGATCCCTGCTATGTAGTGTGCTGAGCTACACTTGTGTAGAACTGTTGGGGACCCTGGGATGAAGTCACAAATAACTCTAATAAGTACACAGATAAGTACCTTTTAATGACAATCCTGGGCTGCTACAGGTAATTTTGGGCGAACACTGAAGACCTGCTATGGACAAGACAGTATATAGGCTGCAAGCCCTTAAGAGGTCCTGTCACCCCCTTTCCTCCATTATCTATCAGATTCATCTCCCTCCACTTCCTATTCATTTGCTCCAGCTACACTGACCTCCCTGTTTCCAAACCTGCCAGGTATGCTTCAAGCACAGGGCTTTTGTATTGCTGTTCTCTCTGCCTGACTCTTTTATATATATATGTAAAAGATAATCATAACTAACTCCTTCACCTTTCAAGGCAGCTCTACTATCTCAACAAAACCTGAACTGACTCTCCTTTAAAACTGCTGTCCTAAGCAGGCGGTGGTGGTCTGTGTCTTCAATCCCAGCACCCAGGAAGCAGTGTCAGGCAGATCTCTGTGAATTCAAGGCCAGCTTGATCTATATAGCAAGCTCCAGGCTAGCCATGGCTGAATAGTCTTTAAGGGGAGCTGGGAGATGCCTCAGTCAGTAAAGTGCTTACTGTGTAAGCAGGAGGACCCTGAGTTCAATCATTAGTACCAACAGCCACGTAAAAAACTGGGTATGGTAATATATGCTTGCAATCCCGGTGCAGTGCTGGAGACCTGAAGACAAGAGGAAACCTGGGGCTGGCTAGCCAGCTAGTCTAGCCAAATTGGTGGGTTCCAGACTTAGTAAGAGACCCTGTATTTAAAAATAAGGGGGAGGGTGGAAAGCAATTGAAGAAGATATTTGGTGTCTATTTCTGGCCTCTACAAGTTCGTACATACACATGTGTATATAAAATTACAGTCTAAGAACATACTGCATAATTTATTTGTGTTGATTATCTACGTCTCACTATAACAAGAGCTCCTTGAGTGAAGGGAATTTGTATGTGTGTCTATTTTGGTTTACTGACTATTCCAAATGCCTCGAACAGTCCTTCCCCATACTAGGTGTTCAGTAACCACTGGTCAAATGGATGAGTGAATGGATTAGGACATCTCAGATGCATACCTTTGACATAAAAAGGTGTTGAGAATAAAAAGCTTTTGCCTTCTTGTTGTAAAACCCTTCAGAACCCATATTACACACATCCTTTATTGAGCAGATTTGAGATAACCATCAACCTCTTCTTTAATTGTATTCTTCACATTTCATCTGATAATATTTAAATAAATTATATATGTTTATGTCTAGTGGCATTTCATTTGTATTTTAATAAATAAAGTTTGCCTGAAGATCAGAAAAGTAAAACAGCCACACTGGCAAGCCTAACAGACCAGGCAGCAATGACACATACCTTTAATTCCAGTAGCAATACTAGTATGCTATAGAAACCAGGCAGTAGTGGTACACGCCCTTAATCCCAGAACTAGAGAGGATTATAAAACGGGAGGAGACAGCTCTCGGTCTCAGTCTCATTCTGAGGTTTCCTGGAGGCAGGATCACCATTTTGGACTGAGGTGGCGGTAAGAGCCGGTGTCTGGCTGCTGTGCTTTTCTGCTCTTCAGGTTGAAGCCCAGGATCTGCCTCTGAGTTTTTGTTTGTGTGTGTAAACCAATGGCCAGTGTCTGGAGAAGACTTTCTGCATATCCCAAAGGTTCCTGTGTGCTGTAGTTCCTCTCCTCCCCTACCACCCACCTTTCCATCCTCTTCCTGTAGTCTCATTCACTTGAAAGAAAGCAGTTCCCAAATCAATACCACTGAAGACTTGATCTTGCTTGCAGCTTCCATTTAGTGTTTCCTAAGCCTACTCACAGGATTCCATTTATATGTACCTGAGAGTAAACAAGCATAGAACTCAACTCCCCCTCCGCCCCTTGAGGCAAGCCTCTCCTGACTAACAGCCCTCCCTGTCTCTGGGCTCTAACCCTAGCACTGTCTTTGACTCATTTTTCTAAATAGGATCCACCTATTAAATAGGATCTACTTGTACCTAATCTTATTGGTTGCCAGAATATTTTTGAATCTATTCTTATCCTTTTCACTGGTGTTATATTAGCCTCCAACCCTCCCTCAGAAGCTGACTAACTTTCTTAACTACACTCCCCAGAAACTTGGAATGGTTCCCTTTCACCTGCTTATTAACACATTTCTCAGCCTGGTTCCCAAGTCCTCTGTGAATTCCTTCTAATCTTCTTAGTTAATTTTGTGCTCCATTACTTCCCAACATACATCTTTTCTTTTTCATAAATCTTTTCTTAAAATCAAATCCCTGGGCTGAGAGATGCTCTGGCCACTATGCTCTGCATAGCAGAGGCTTGTCTCAACCCCAGGCTGGGAACCACCATACTCACATCTTTCTTCTCCAACTTTTTTTTTTTTTGACACAGGGTTTCTCTGTGTAGTCCTGGCTGTCCTGGATCTCCCTGTGTAGACCAGGCTGGTCTTGAACTCAGAGATCCCCTGCCTCACATTAAATGTGTAAGGAAACATCATTATTATATTATAACAATATTCATAGAATATTGGAGATTGATCAAGAAAGAACTTTAGCAGGGTATGGTGTACACGTCTGTAAATCCCAGTCCTTGGAAGGTGGAGGCAGGGTGATGTCACACATTTAAGGCAGCCTGGTTTATAGCACGAGTTCCAGACGACCCTGACTACACAATGGGACCCTGGATCTCAAAATATAAAATAGTCAAGATGGTTCAGTGGGTAGAGGGGTTTGCTGTCAAGTCTAGAGAACTGAATTTGAGCTCCAGAAACTCAGTGGAAGGAGAGGACCAACTCCTAGCAAGTTGTCCTCTGACTTCCACACACCACTACCCCTCCAAAAGAATAAAATCGAATTTTGACGATCATATTTCATAAAACGAAAGCCTATCGTTTTCATAAAAATAAGTGTTTGCAGTAAGTATTGCAGTTCAAAAAGGCCATTTTTCACACTAAATTTGTAAGGAAAACGTAATTATTGCATTTTCTATAGGAGGAAATTGAAGCCCAGATTGAGACCAGTGATTTGTTCAAAAGAAATCCAAGACTATAATTTAGCATCCTGCCTCTTTCGAGGTTCTTTCCACTACAGCCCAGTTGCCTCTCAACACACAACTGCACGATCAATATTTGCGAGTGCAAGTTCTCAAAACAAAAAAAAAAAAAATAAGGCAGAGATGTTGACAGTAATTTAAACATCCGTAGTAAAGGCAGCTTGATGAAGGCTGGGAATGCATAGATTTCCACACACCTTGCGCTCTTCGTTCTGAAGTCGTTGGTAGCCATTGGCTGCTCTCCTGACGCGTAGTTCAAGGGACCGCAGCTGCGCGCTGCCCCTTTAAGGCCGCAGGCGGCGCGTACCCACAGTCCTTTCAAACGGACCAATAAAAGGGCGAGAGGCGGTCTTCCGAGGACCAATAAACAACGAGGACACTGCGGGGTGTGCGGCGGCCCAAGCGGTTTTAAACGGCTTAGAGCAGGCCCCTCGGTCGCGGCCCGGCGGAGGTGAGTGGGCCGGGGGCCGCACCTACCAGCTTGGACCCCGGGGACCCGGCGGCGCGCGCTGGGCACCCAGGGCCGCGGGCGGGGCCCTGGGCGGACGCGCGCCGCCGCGGTTTCGCGAACCCGGCAGGTCAGGCGGCGAAGCGGGGCGGAGGCCGGGGAGCCCGCGGCCGGCAGGGCGGGGGGCGTGGGCGCCCGCTGGGGTTGGAGACCGGGCTGGGGTTCAGGTGAGCAGAGCGCGCGGCGGGGCTCTACTGGTGGCGTCCGAGGTTGGCGGGCGGCGCCGGGCCGCGCCTGGAGGCTGGGGCGTCCGAGGCTGGGGCGGGGGCCCTGCGAGCAGGCCCGCGGAGAGCGAGGAGAGCGCCTCGCGGAATTGTCAAATGAATGAACCGGGCCCGGGAGGGCTGCGGCGGGTGTGAAGGGCCTGGTCGCCTCCCAGCCGCGCTGGACGCTGGTGCCCCGGCCTGTCTGCATCCGCGTCCCCTACCTGCGATGAGTTTTTAACGATTCTGATCATTCGCCGCCCCGCCCTTGGTTTTCTCCCTCAAAGTCCGCAGAGTTGAGGTGTTTTGCAGCTGTGAGGTTTTCGGGGACCAGTACAATAGCCAGCAGTGTGGGTTAGCCAGGCCGTACCACTTAAGGCCAGGTGAATGAGATGCCCACTTTTTACGTCCTAGCAAATCGTTGTTGTTGAGAGGGCTGCCCGAAGTCGTGGTAATTGCCAGGCAAGATTGAATGCATCCCATTTTGTTTCTAGCGTAGGAAATGAGAGAGATGTTGCCAGAGTGGCGGCTGTGTTAGAGAACATATTCGTGTTGGTGAATCTTAACAATGAGTTTGTGATTCAGCATCAATGGAGGTTTTGCAGAACTTGCCCCAAATTTATGCACGACTCTAATTCTCCTAGGAACCAAGGCATTAAATCTTGGCCCAGATAGGATGCTTGTCTTACATTATGCATAATTATAGAACTGAAAACTCATTTTTAGAAAGGTGAAATTTCTTTTTTCTCCATTTTCATCACCCTGAAAAGTCCTTCTGTGACCTAAAGACTAAGTATAAATATAAATCAAGCAAACAGTCATTTGAGACTTTTCTAAAGGAAGTGGACAAACTGTAAGGTTTGCTATAAAGAAAATCAAAATCAGTTTAGTTGACAACATGAGTCAAGGTAGTAAACCTATAAAGAAAAAATGTACCCAACGATTTTGTTTATTTTTTAAAATTTTTTTTACTTATTACTATATTTCTTTACACGGTCTGGAGAGATGGCTCAGTACTTAGTGGCAGTGATTGCTCTTCTAGAGGACCTGAGTCTAGTCTCAGCACCCACCTGATCGCTCAGTCATTTATAGTTCCAGTTCCAGGGAGTCGGATGCCCTCTCCTGGTGTCCATGGGCACTGCATACATGTGGTACACAGACGAAACACCTATACACATAAAATGTTTTTAAAGATCTTTTACATTTATTTTGTGTGGGGGAAGGGGAGGTGTGCATGCCAAATGTCAGACAACTTGCTGGAGCTAATTCTTTCTCGCCATCTTATAGGTTCCAGTCAAACAACAGTTGTCTGGCTTGGCCAAAACACCCTTACACTGCCTCTCTGGTCTCCAAATTTTGCACAAGTTTTACACAGTGTTCACTTAGGAGGTATTAAGCAAAGGTATCCCATAGCAATGTGCCATATACTTTCCTCCCTGTTACTTTTAAAGTTTGAATCATCAACTTTGAATTATGAAGAATGATGTGTGGTAATTCAGTTTTAGTGATCAATAGATGAATACCTTAATTTTATGACCACTTGGGTTTGGAGAAAGCAATTATTAAAAATAATTAACTGGGCTGGAGAGATGGCTCAGCGATTAAGAGCACTGATTGCTCTTCCAGGGGACCTGGGTTCAATTGTCAGCAACCACATGGTAGCTCACAACTGTAACTCCAGGATCCAGCACCTCACACAGACATACATGCAGGCAAAAGACCAATGCACACAAAATAAAAATAAATTACATGAAAAATTATTTAACAGTACCTTTGGATAGTATTAAAATCTTTTTTTAAGGTTTATTTATATTTATGAGTGTTCTCTCTGTATGTATGTATGTACCTACCCCATAGACTTCAGAAGAAGGTATTAGATTCCCTGGAATTGGAGTTACAGATGCTTATGAGCAGATATGTGGGTGCCAGGAACCAAACTTGGGTCCTCTGCAAGAGCAACAAGTGTACTTAACTCTGAGCTGTTTCTCCAGCTCTTAGTGGTAAAAATCTTGATGACTATGAAAAGTTGCCAGGCATGGTGGTTCATGCCTCTGGTTCCAATATGTGGGAGGCTGAAGCGGGAGAATTGCCGAGTATGAGAACAGCCTGGGCTACATAGTGAGAGTCTGTCTCAGAAAAGAGCAGCAGAACCCAGCACGAGCAAGTGAAAGCTTTATATTCTAGTCCAGCCAGGCTGTCTTGTTCTCTGTTGAGACTAATGACTGTTAGATGTTACATTCTAGATTCAAGGAACATTTGTGACCCAGGAAAAATAGCACCCAAGGGAGATTTATCTTTCAAACAATTTACTATAGCAAATTATAGTTTCCATAATCCCTCTGGTTCAGCCTTAGGTCTTGAACAAAGTGAATTCTCTGTGTCACATTTTATCTTTTTTAACTCTGTCAGAATTTTACCCATGAGGAACTGAGAAAGATTATGCAACTTCTAGGAGTCCATGTGACTTATAGAACCTGAAT